AGGCTAGCGCGCGCCCTGCATCGCCGCCCGTGTCCATGATGGCGGCCTCAATGTCCCGCGGCCCCAACACACCCGCCTGGGAACAGCCGTATAGGCAGGCGTAACATTCGTCGCGCAGTCCAGGGCACGACATCCCACCGATAACACGGCGCCGACGCTCGGCTAGTTGTTGCAGGAAGGCGGGGCGCGCTGGACGGGCGCCCGGCATGGGTAACGGACCGGGCAACGGCGCCGTGCTTCGAAGCCCGCGCTGCGACAACAGGTCTGAAAACATGGCATACCGGCATCCGTATCCAACACTGCCGGTGCGAAGGCTGCGAAGGACGCATACTTAACTCCACAGCTAGATCCATCGAAGCCACAAAGCGCCTGAACACAAAATTGTGGGTACAGGACCGTGCATGGCGCTGGGTGGCCACAGCAACACAAGTTAATCGTGTGCTGGCGTCCACAGACTCTGCAATCAAGCTGACGTTTCTCCAGGACTTCCATAGCAGAGGCCTGAGACTTCTCCGCCCCGAATACTTCCATGCATGCACCAAGGTTCATTTAGCACCGTTCGACACAAGAACCTATGGTGATAATATAAACTGGCATACTTATTGCAATGGTTTACCGAGATTTTTAGAAATGCTTCCTTACTGTCTAAATACCTTCAGCTTTTTAAAAGGAACACGCCTTAGATATTGCACAACAACGGCATAGAGATGTATAAGTATACCAAAAGCACTTCTAGCGCCGCGCACTGTCATGCATTAATGCATACACCACGCTTCCGTACAACAAGAGTTTGGTGCGCATGTAAGTATGGGTTGCAAGCATGTCACAGTCGATAATCTTACAATAGTATTACATACCTACCCAACTTCAGCGTTTAGCGTTGATTACATAGAAGATAGGTTACTTTCGGGTAGGAGTGGCGAGTAAATGGCCGCTATAGATGTCGCCCTGGAGGACACTGCGGAAGATGGAGACCCTCGAGACCAGCTGACACGAAGTCCAAATGACGCGGTATGTCTTTTCATGCTTTGTGGCTTCCAACCATGCAAATGCGCCATGGTGCACTTGCAGCCATTCGACTTCACTCGGGGTTTATTTAATTCTCTGCTGCGTGTATAGTCTGATGTCGCGGCTGTCGCGACGTGTCTCCACGATGTGCTGGACGGGGACGATGAACGGGTGGATGCTGTGCGTCGTCAATTCGAAGAAGATCTCGGCGTCTACTCCGTTGGTGAAGCATGGGAACTGTTCCAAGGTGAGAGATTGATCACAGAGAGAAAAGCGCGAGTCCGTGCCAGAGACGTGGGGCGGCGATGTCCCCGTGCCGAGAACAACCGGAAACTTTGCGAACGGTGTTTTGAAAGACAGTGTGTCCTTCATTGCAGAGGATTTCCAGCTCTTCCCGCTTCGCACCGCCATGGCACTGAGAGGGAATGTACCGGGCCTTACCGTCTCGGACGCGAAATCCCTCTTGTTCAAGATCAAAACGGCATCGGAGGGGGCCGTGGAGGATCAGGGACACAGGGACGCGGAGACTGGCACCGTCGAGGACGCGGCGGAACTGTGGTCCCGATGAGTGCACCAGCCGCCATCACCGAAGCAGAGGATGTGCCACCCCGCGTCAAGTCGCGTGGTGCTACTGGTAAGTGGCGACGTGAGATGTGTGGCAGCTAAGAGTGGGCAACCTAGAAAGGAGGAACCCACCTCACCCCACCCACCCAATTGTATAATGTTATACATACCGACGTCTATGAAACATCATACCATATGACAACAGAAATGCCCCCCTTGTTTTACAACCCTGTGTAGGCGAGTTCAAAACAAACTGGTCAGAGCTCGGCGGTGTAGACCCATATGCCTGCTGCATCAGCGGCGGCATCAGGGGGTGGTTCATCGGTGCTAAGACTGGCAGTACGCGGCCGGTCGCATTCACCAAGCAATACTGCTGCTGAAAGCCGCTGTGGGTTATGCGTGGTTTGATGCCATACTACAATGGCCTGTCTGTTTTCTGCGCCAACGTTTGGCGTTTGTGCGTGGGCAATCCGGGAGTCAACAGCAGGAGGGAGGACCCCTGACATGGGGAGCGCGGGTAGCCAATCCACACGGAAGTGTCGTGGTTTACATGGGCCCAGGCGTGCAACGTTTTGTGTCAGTGTTTGGTTGCATGGGCGGAATACCGGGGGCGATTTCATGGGCCATGCCCCGCCCAACGGAGAGCTCGATGGATTAAGGCATAGATTGCATATGGTGAACATATTCTTCTCGGCAGACATCTGCATTTTCATTTGTTTTCAATGTAGCTCGTGGTACTGAGTTTAGCGGTGTATCAGAGATTTGTCATTGTTTCCACCCGAACCTGTTCATGCATACGAGTGTTGTGGGATAAACTGGACAAACTGCCGATGAAGTGTGGTAGGAAAACAGTGGGGCCTCGGCGACTGACTTGACTGGGTAATGCAGTCGTGGCCCTGAGTGCTTGTCTCCCGTAGTAGTAGTAGTAGTGCCAGAGTACGGTAACCAGGTGTGCAAGTTTTCCCACTCCATGTCGTGGGATCGAAACTAATACGCACATGAGGCACTTGTAAGCGGTCCTCTTGCAAAGTTTTCTGTAAATTCCTTAAAAGTCATGTGCTTTTGGATGCCAGCCCGAGCTAATCCTGCCAACTTGACAGCCAATTCGACACCCTGAACACGCTAATTCGATACCCTGTCAGGCCAATTTGACACCCCGAACAGGTCAATTCGATACCCTGTCAGGCTAATTCAATACCCTGTTAGGCCAATTTCGGCACCCAGACAGGCCAATTCGACACCCGGACAGGCCAATTCAGGCCCAGCACAGCCCAATTCCGAGGCTCCACAGCGCAATTCGAATACCTCCGGCGAGTCCGCCAGAACAATTCCAGACCTCGGCAGACCAATTCTTTTGTCAGGAATAAAATCCAGGCTAATTCTGCGACAGAGCTCCTCCCTAATTCCAGCCCGGATCCTACCCTCCTTACGAGCCGAGGGCTCAAGGGCTGCCAATTCGCCTATAAGCACCATCCTACCTCGCACTTCCAACGAAACAAGTAATGAAGGATACTAATAACGACCAAAGGGAACGATAGAGTTGCGGTGGGACCATATGCGTTCCAGCATCCTTGCCAGGCGTTCAGGTTCCCACTTCATAGCGTCCTTCATATGCTCGAAGCGTGGGAAACCCATATCAGATCTGATTTTGTTGTACACCGGACAGTCCATCAAAATGTGCTTCTCGTCCTCGATATGGCTATCGGTGCCACAGCAAGGGCATACTCGCTCCTCCCTAGGTATATAACGCCGTCCCTTACGCGCTCTGTTAGCCGCCAGTGCCCAACAGCAAAGCCTAAACTGCATAAGCTTGCGGTTCGCTGAACGCGGGATAAACATTGCGATATGCGGGAGCACCTCCTTCCTGCCCGCTTGCTCGGCCGCCAGACCCATCCAATGCTTATGCGATGATTCTCATTGCCCCTTATGCGTGAGAGGGAGGCGGGCAGTGGTGTTGCATGGTTGGGTAGCTTTGCGGGCCGGTAAAATCCCAGGAAATCATCCACAGTACCGTAAAATCTTGGCAAAATCCGCCAGCATGCGGTAAAATACTTCGTTCCGTAAAATATATTAAAATCCATAATTTTGCGGTAAAATCTTTATTTTGTAAAATCTTTAGTTCCGCTACGGTATACTTCGCCATGTGAATTCCTGGCTGCTTGCCGTCTGACGGGTACAAGCCCCTTCTGTTGTCCGCTTCATCTGGGTTTTGGAACTGCAAGGCTACCAGCAATGAACGCTGCAGGGCAGGCTAAGATTTATGCAAGCAACTAGCTCGGCTGAACCGGCTGAGCTACGCTGGACACCGAGAAATACGCTCAAAGCAGGTCTACTCAACATGAGCTCAAAACAACGGGTAAAGGCAAACTAGAGCAAACAACGAACCAACTGCACGAGAGGGGCAAGGAGGTTACTTTCCTCGACTTACCCTCCCCTAACGCCGCTAACACATATCACACACACAACCTCCAACAGGACTATACTGATCCCATTACTCGCGAAGCCCTCCTCAGACTCCGAGCCAGCCCAGCCACCTACGCGGACAGCCCGCGCACCCACTTGCATCGGTCGCGCTCTTCAGCGATGTTGCTCTGTGCGTCGCCGTGCCGTGCTTCTTCCTTCTGCACCATCGCAGCGGCCCGACCTAATCGAGATCACTATTATTCCCGGGAATGTCTGCCCGAATGGGAAAGCGGTCTGCTGTGAGAATCGGGCTCTAGCGAGATGGTGGCCCTAGGTTTTTGTTGGGCATACCTCTGTTTGAAGGCGCCCTTAATAACGGTTTAAGAATGCTGGGGGACGGAATGCTTGAGAACACTGCAGTAAGCTGTAACAACGCTGTGAGAACACTGTAAAACTCTGTGAGAACACTGTAAGAACGCTTGAGAACACTGTAAGAACGCTTGAGAATGCTGCAAGAACGCTTGAGAATGCTGTGAGAACGCTTGAGAATGTTGTAAGAACGCTTGAGAATGCTGTGAGAACGCTATAAGAACGCTGTAAGAACGCTTGAGAACGCTGTAAGAACGCTTAAGAATGGTGAGAGAATGGTGTAAGAACGCTTGAGAACGCTGTAAGAACGCTTAAGAATGGTGAGAGAACGGTGTAAGAACGCTTGAGAACGCTGTAAGAACGCTTAAGAATGGTGAGAGAACGCTGTAAGAACGCTTGAGAACGCTGTAAGAACGCTTAAGAATGATGAGAGAACGGTGTAAGAACGCTTGAGAACGCTGTAAGAACGCTTAAGAATGGTGAGAGAACGCTGTAAGAACGCTTGAGAACGCTGTAAGAACGCTTAAGAATGGTGAGAGAACGGTGTAAGAACGCTTGAGAGTGGTGAAAGATTGCTTAAGAATGCGTGAGAAAATGGTTTGAGAATGTCCTTGAGAACGGGTAAGATCGCTGAGAACGCTTGAGATTCCCTGCAAAGAGCGCTCTCTTGAGATTGCTTAAGAACGCTTAAGCGTTCTTAAGCTTGAGAAGGCACAATCTTAAAACATGGCAGATAAGAGCGTTCTCAGAACGCTCTTAACAGCGGCATCCACTTGTGCTTTATATGGCTTAAGATCGCGTTGAGAGCGCTCTTAAAGCGGTTTCATTTTGGTAGGGCCCTTTCCTTTGTATTTTTGATTTCCTGTATTGCTTTTTGATTAAACTGTTTTTTTTCTTGCCCTCTGGCTAGGCGTTCGGTGCTGGGAGAGCCAAACTCTGACTGGCTTGTACGGGTGTGATATCTAATGGTTGGCGTACGGCCTCCCGTACTTCCGTACTTGCCAATCTCCCTTACTCTTGAGATCACCGAAAAAGGCCTAAATACGTCAGTGCTTGGTGCGTAGGACTAGCTTTGGCTGAGGTTCTTTCAAAGGTTGTGGATGGATGGATGGATGTTACAAGCTTCAGCGAGCTCGTACGGCCCAAACGAACCCGGAGGCTCATGAACCGCTTTGACAGCGCCGTCGATAGGGAAAAGAAAAAAGAGAAAAAGTAAACGAAGCAAACAAAACAAACAACAAAAAAGGAAAGTTTTACGCAAGAAGAAAACGGGTGTTTATGAGAAAGAACAGCGTCAATTTGACTCTGAAACACAATTGCCTGTTACCGCCGAGAAAGTTGGGTAGTTAGGTGCTCATGCCGGGAGCGAAACATCTCAAAAATTGCCTTTGCAAGACCACGCTGATCATCCACTTGCATGATATCACGGATGTTCGCATTGACGGCCACACCGAGGTCCCAGAGCTTCTGACGCGCAGACATAATCGCCGGACATTCTACCAAGAAGTGTTTCTCATCCTCAATAGCACCATTACTACGACACACAGCGCACACGCGGTGCTCCCTAGCCCTGTTGCTCTCACTGTTAACCGCCAGGTCGGAGACACACAAACGAAAAAGGATTAGGGCACGATGATGCGCCGGGGGGATATAACCCGCGTACGGCTTCGGTGGCCCCATCCAGTGCTTATGGCGGCCCATCTTCACGCCGGGCTTCCTACCGTCCGTAACGAAAACTCTAGGGTCCACAGCTAGCCTATCATTTGCCCAATCGTCGTTGACACGTGTCCTAAGGGTGTCCATCAGCGCTTCGACATCAAGCTTGCAAGCCGAGTAACGTCTAACGCTCATATCAATGCCTCCCCCGACTGCCTCCTCACCCCAGTCATGCTCTAAGTGGTTAAGGATACGAATGACTTTGGATCCCCAACCATCAAACTGCAAATTCGTTACTAACGCCAAACGAATTTCCTGACGAAAGGCGCTGTGGTATACGCTACTAGTGTCCTCCACCAAACTATTCCAGAAGCGAAATACGGATTCAGCCCAGTGCAGCTGTAGCGGCATCTGACCTAGCTCCATAAACAAAAGCTGGAGGGGTGGTACAGAAGTCCCTACTAATTGTTTCATGAAAAAGATTTGGAGCTTGACCATGCGGTCTCGTATAGCCACATCGAAATAGCATGACCGCGGTGCCTCGTTAGCCGGATAGCCCTTTTCCAACATCGCGAGAACCTGGTCAGCCCCCCACACCTGCGAGCCGTATGATAAGACAGAACGAATTTGCGCATTGAAACACTTCATGCCGACGCTAGGTAGCAGCAGACCCTGCCGGCGCAGCTTGTTGCGCAGAGCAAACATGGCCCGTTGGCCAGCCGAGAACAGCTCATCCGTGCAGGACGCAAAAACCGAGTCTGGTCCGAAGTGCAGCCCCAGATAGGTTGTAAGTTAGATCTTGGTACGGATGCTTGCCCCAACTTCACGGCGGCGGGCTCTTTGACTTCAGAACGGTCAACCGCGTTTGCCGGCCCTGTCAACAGCCAAGCTGCCATATCTTTATTTTCTTAATTTTTATTTTAATTTTATTTTTAGTTTTTAGTTTTTTATTCCATTTTTACTCATACGTAGTCTGCGCTTCACTCCGACGCGCCGACGCCAACGTAACGCGCCTCGCGGCCTGCCGTGGCCCTGGAAACCAGGGTACGAACGCTTTATCCTTGCTCGTCCTTGCACACATAAGGCATCCAGCGCAGCCTTTATTGCCCGTTCGGGGTCCACTGTGATAAACGCATTGAGCCCTTATCCTCGGGTTCGAGGCATCAAGTCGTGCTCCGATGCGGCCAGGCTCCTATTGCGCAGAACTCGGCGGCCCGTTCATGAGCCTCTCCTTTGTATGCAGTGCAGACTTCGAGTTCCCTTCGACCAGCTAACTTCTGTTGTCCTTGAAGATTGGCAGCCGATAATAGGGCTACCCTGCATCAGCTCACTCCCTCGAGCGACCTTTACCCTCTCTTGGCAGCAGACCCTCCTTGGGCAAAAGGATAGCCCTTAGCACTTCTACGAGGAGGTGCGCCTCTGGTCGGTTGCGGGTTTTGCACGGCTTGGCTTCTGCCCTACAGGCTTATGCACAGATGTTGCTTAGATTTCCACTACCGTAGCAGCATTCATCTGGAGCCCACTGTAACAACTACACACACATTCATCCATCCACGTATACTTGCATGTAGCAGGCATGCTGCCAGCTCACCGTCACCTTAAGGACTTCAGCAACTTATCTTGAAATACCATTGGCAAATCACCAACTTCGCCTATATACAAATTGCCGTTGTGAGCTGCCTCTAAAACACTGATTAGGGTGTATTTCCAGTGCAGATTAACGTCGCGGATTAACCCTCTGTCCTCCATCGATACCTGCTCAAACGGCTAAGTTGTTGGCAATCTTGCCTCGCCTTTTCAACCTTTTGTTCCCTTATGGAACGAAACTATGTGGTAAGCTTGTACCAAGGACTTCCGTGCCGTAATCCCTGGCCTTAGTCCGCACTAGAAATACACCCTAATTGTTTTGTCCAAAACAGTTCCTTGTCCTTGCTTCTCTTCAAGTTGCAACTGAGACGGATGACCCTATTTAGGGTTAATGACAAAAAACATTTAGCTAAGAAAGAAATAAAAGAACATACAGTTCCTGGTCCAGTTTGGACGCCGCCATCATCCGAGGTCCATTTTCTCTTATCAATTTATCAATAATTTATTGTGGGTCACCAATAAAATATTTTTAATTCTGATGCATTATGGGGTGTTTCCACTTGGATTAAAGTCACGGATTAAGGTATCTTTAGCCAAGTCCAGAATATAGAATTATCAGTATTGCTTAGTAACGATAAACGATTAAAAAACTGAACCAGGAATATAGAAATGAAACAGTGCTACTAACGTTCCGCACTGCTTCTAAAATTTATTGCTTCTAACAGATATCTGGATAGTGTGGTCTATCACAGGTAGATATCTGGATATCTGGATAGTGTGGTCTATCACAGGTAGATATATCACTGAAATTTTAACTGTTTGCCGTATCATCAATTCTAATTTCTTAATAATAGATTTTTTTTGGATCTACTGTAACGATTAACAGGGAAGGAGCGGTTTCATGGAGTCCCACCCTGTCGGGAGGAACGCCTCCAGGGATGCAGGTGCAGGCAGCAGGCAGTCTCCACAGAAACCAGAAGAGACCGGTCCACGCTGCTTGCTGTGATCCACTGCTTGTTCTTTGGAGTCCGGTCCTAAGCTGGCCTCAACCTCCCGGCCAAGTGAGGGCAAGCATAAACATAGGCAGCTTCCTCCACGGCGCTGTGTAATGGCTGGCCATCGACTTTCAATCAGATGGTAGGACATATACATGCTGTTCCATAGTATGGCGGCAACTAATGCTCGAGCCTGCAGCGTTTCAGATTGCGCGTTTTGTACAGGTGCAAGGCCAGCAACATATGACTGGTGCGTTAGCATACGGCCTGGGCGCTGTAGGTTCGATGGATGATCAGTTATAACAAGTGCCCCTTGCAACCACCTATTTTTGAGTACCGGTATTTCTCCGTCTCCCAAAGGGTCCTGCGACCGCGCAGCGCGAGCCGCGGGCGCCGGCCACATCGGGAAGCGGTGGCCCACATCCGGCGTTTCCTGGCAGCGTGTTTGGCCACCCGTGCAAAACAAACAAGGATTTAAATGGTCCTAGCTACAGAGCTTAAGCTGACATCAATGCATGGTAGCTGGTGTTCAGTGGCTGGAGGCTATGGTGCTTCAAGCTGTTTCGAGGGTTGTTCGGTAGGGTTGGCGGAGTTCAGGACGTAACAGCGCCGGATTGGGCCACGCCGGCACATGGGATTCACAGGAAACCTGCTTGTTCGCAGAAAAGGCAACGGATTATCGGTGTATGGATTATTTGTCAAAACGACGGCTTTTCATCTGTAAGGATGCAATACAGCCCTGCAATACGTTTACCGGTACCCTAGCTTGCTCGGGCACAACGCATGGACACGAAGTTGCCTCCTACAAGTCATAGGATTCGTGTAGAGCAGTTGACAGTAAATGGTTTCCGTCTGCACTTCACTTTAGGCTCCCAACTGATGGGCTTGTTGAGGGACTAGAAAATAATGGTTGAAGCGCTCCTTGCATTGTTTCGCACATACTGAAGCACCAACTGTTATCAACTCGTTATGCATACAAGCTTGAGGCTTTGCACATGTGCATAAAGGCCACGTACGGCACCGTCGGACTGAGCTTGGCATCCGGCAAGGCGATAAACATTCTGTTCGTATGGATATGCGACGTTACCTAATTTTTAATCTCTTGATCTGGATGCCCAGCCCTTTCTTACATGCAATTCAACCTCGCTAAGGTCGTGTTGGGCTCTGCTAATCCACGAATAACTCTCGAACTCAACCTATGGTACAAGTACCTTTGGTTGCACTTAGAGAAGCATTTTCCTACGGGGTTTCCATGTAATACTCATATGGCATGTGAAAGAAACTCGCCACTTGCAGCTATAAGAGACCTATACGTCGGTAATTTGTCGTGGAACAGCTTACCACTTGATACATACATTTAAGCTGGTGGCTTCGTTGCGTGGGGCCCGGGGCTTGTTGCTCCTGGGAGACGAATGGGGTGCAGCTCTAGCAAGGATGGCTACGAGTCCCAAGACCAAGGAGCTGGAGCTAACCCCGATGACCCGAAGAAGTCAGCTTTGTTACGGGAGGAGGCTCTTAAAATCGCGGAAGAGATGATGGGACTTACAAAGGGAAAGTAAGTTATCTCTGCGCATAACCTGAAGTAAAATCTTTCCAGAGCTATCCGTAACGCCCTTGTTTAGGCGGTTCCACGAGTACTATACGCGTCTGACGCTTACAAGCTATGGCGCAAGCTGTAAGGTCCTGACAGCCTACCACCGCACCACAAACAAGAAGGTGGCAGTGAAAACCATTCCAAAGGTATGGAGGAACGCCATTACACTCAGCTGGATGAAGAAGGCCCGGTGCAGGACCTCGCATTTGCTTTTTCGCCGTTTCAGAGTCGTAAGCAACTGGACCGACAACGCCAAAAGGTAATGCTGGAAGTTGGCACTTTTCGGATGGTGGAGGACCACCCCAACGCTGTCCGGATGCTGGAAATATTTGAGGGTGCCGAGTGCTACTACATTGTCATGGAATGCTGTGAAGGCAAGTGTGACGCGGGCGTTATAGCCCCTTGGCGCTTCAACCAAATCCAGGTCTGAACACGGCCGAGGCGCCGGGGATTGCTGTGTACCTCATGGGGAGCACCGGTGTATCTGCCGCCGCAGGCATGACCCTAACCATATCACATGGGCTTCCTGGCCATCATGCCTTTCCCCCTTCCCTTTCCTTCCACCCACCACTTGATCACTTCCACTGCAGGCGGAGAGCTTTTTGACCACATTAGCAAGAAACAGGTGCCCGGGCTTGGATATGTGTGTGCTACGTGGCCGTTCATGAGATAAGAACCGAAGACCGGAACTAGGGCCCAAGGAAGTGCCGGTTTTACGGGGCCGAGGAAGTCCGCCTAGGCCAATCAGTGTACTTTGGGTCTGTTACCCTTTCCCCTCTAGTGCCAAGGTCTCGCTTGGGGAAAGCCCGCCGCCTGGTCGCCCGCATGTAGTCTCGTTCTCGTCTCTCTCGTCTGGGCCGGGCCTGCCCAACACTGTCGGAGAAGCCTTAGCCTCGGGCATAAGGCTGGTAGGCCCCTTATGTCGTATACCTAGGCTTGGTCTACCACATGTAAGACCTACCCAACTGACCATGGGATCGAATCGTAGGGACGATCCCCGTGGCATTGTGGCGTGATGAGGAGCAACATGTCTGAGTTGTTCCCGTCCTGTCCTGTCCTGTCTTGCATCCCCCGCCCTGTCCTCCACTGCCCTTCGACCAGGGTTGCTTTACGGAGCGCCAGGCTGCCGGTCTGTTGCGGAGCCTGATGCTCTTCCTGGCGCACATGCATAGCAAGGGGATAGCACACCTGGTAGGTAGGGGGGTAGGAAGTTGGGGCGTGGATGGTGACGGCGCTGTTGCTATCACTCCTGGTGTTGGAAGTCAAGAAGCCTGGAAGCCTAGATACGGAACCCAGGGTTATGATTGGAGGATGGGGGACGCCGCAATATTATGGGTGCTGATTGGGGAGTGGAGTATAAAGTTGGGTTTACATCGCCGCCTGCGGCTATCGGTTTGGGAGCGAAAGCTATCTGGGCTCAGGAATCAACACCTCCGGAATGCTAGGGTTTGGATTTGCGAGCGGAATCGAGATGAGGGAGATGGACTTCAGAAGGTGCAAGCGGAACGAAATCGACGCCGGACAAGAGGGGGCGGTGGATTGGCTGTGCGCGTGCTACACTGCCCGTGGGGGAATAGAAAATGGGTTTGAGAAGGGGAAGAGCAGAGGGGCGAGTGGGATGGAGATGGCAGGGAGAGGCGGTTGATGTGGAATTGTATGACCCGAGAGGAGCGGGTTGGCCAAGGTTGTGGCTGTGTCCAGGTGCCCCGTGCTGCACATTACAAATTTTGCGAGCTCCAAGCCGTGGAAGAGGAAAAACAAGTACTTTTGGACTTTTAAGGCATGTAATAGTCCTGAGTAGGTCGGTTAGTCCAACGCACGCACATACACACTACATTTAGCTGTGGGAGAGTGGGAATCTGACGTTCCCGGATCAGATTTGGGTCAAATCCAGCATTGGGGTAGAGGCCCCCAGGTGATGCGATGTAGCTGAGGGGAAATATGGGCGGAGTAGGGACCGTGCCCATTGAGTTTGACGTTCGGCGCAAGGGAGGTTGCGGGGCTCGGTGGCAGGGGAGTCCAGAAGGGACACCACCTTAAACTTAACAGGCCCAATGTGTTAGGAGACGGAGGTGTTGATACTCCAGTTTCTTAAACCTATGTATGTTAACATGAAGTGATGCCCCCCTTGTGGTCTCTGAACAGGACATCAAACCAGAGAACCTCATGTTCGACAGCGAGGGGGCCAGTGGGGTTCTGAAGGTGCTGGACTTTGGCTCGTCAGTGTTCGTGCAGCCAAACGAGATGGTAAGCGGTACAGCACTGAAGGCGCGAAACGCTATACAGGCTTAAGCCTGGCTCGGCCCTGCATTGATGCAATTTTCATTGGCGGCAGACCTGAGCTGCTGAACTGCCGAACATTATCCGCCTCGTGGGCGCGTGTGTGCAGGTTCGCAACGCCTTTGGGACCGTGCGCTACGCCTCCCCGGAGATGGCCAATGATGTGTGCGGCCAAAAAGCCGACATCTGGTCGGCAGGGGTGGTCATGTACATCCTGCTGTGTGGCAAGGCGCCATTTCTCAAGAACAATGACATTGACACCCTGGACTACATCAAGAACGGCCCCCGGGTCAAGTTCAACGGGGAGCGCTGGTCGTCCATATCGCAGGTGGGATGATGGAAAGGCTTTAGTGTGTTAAGGACCGGGAAATGTTTATCCCCTGCGGAACGTGCGGGGGAGGGGATCTGGAAGGAGGGGTACGATGCTTGCGCTGGTAAAGGTGTTTTTTGGGGGGAAAACCAGTTGGAAGAATCCAGGGAGCGGGAACTAGCTTCAAAGGGACACGGTCCGTCTTTTAGTCCGTTGCAGCAGCGTGGCAGGTAGGGGGCCGTATGAGGGGTTGGCGGCGGTGGGCTTTGGGGGGGGTCACGACGAAGCACAGACGATTGGCGACAAGAAAGTACAATAGACGGATACTCCAAGATTAGACCAAAAACGTAGGACAATGTGCAAGATACTGACCCGTCGGCTTGGGAGGCCAAGGAAGGGCCATAGGGTAGGGTTGGCTTTAGGGGGAGGATGTGGAAGTAGCAGGCGCCCGCAGGATTTGGTTGGGCGATGGGCGATGGGGGACTGCCTCTCCCCCCAGTGAGCTGCGCACACATACCTCTGCGTTGCGCGGTCCGACCCTGACATCCTGCTGTACCGACCTTCCTGTGTCGCCGCATTGCCTGGACCTTGCACCATTATGACTCGAGACTTCTCCCCGGCATGTGCAGCCCTCACAGCCCCCATCCGCCGCCTGTGCCAGCCTCACACGCCTACACACCCGCCTCTCCTACTCCGCCAGCTCCACCCGTCGGCCTGGCGGACGCCGGCAGCCGGTTTCTTTGACTTGTGGCATACAATCCCCCCCTACCGCCCCGCGCCCCACTCGCAGTGTGCGAAGGACTGCATTCGGACCCTCCTGGAGCCCAACCCGCGGGCAAGACCCACCGCCGTGGAGGTGCTGGGTATGCCATGGCTCAAACAGCAGGTGCGCGGTGGGTTGTGTATGTGTGTAGAGGAATGGATGGGGGGAAATAGTGGAAAAGGGCAGTGGGAGTGAAAGCGGGCCTGTGCGGGCGTTGCCGGCTCTGGCGCTTGTCTTCATTTACCCACGGTCGTACCCAGGCTAAAAACTCCAGACCTCGTTGCGTGTGATGTCATTAATGCCATGAACAGGTGCGAATAGGAAATGGGTTGTTTGTGGCGCTCACGACATGACGAGGCCTATGGCGTAGGTGGCTTGTTGGGTTCATGTTCTCCCGCTTGTCTCCTTGCGCTCTTTTCCCCGCGTCTAACTCCCACTCCCTGTCATCCCGCAGGTGCCGGAAACAGTCATCGTGCCCGATACGCTCAAGCACCTGCGCACCTTTGCCAACCAGTCGCGCATTCGGCGCCTGCTGCTGGGCCTTATGGCGGACCAGCTGGTCGGCAGCGGAGCTAATCAGCTGCTGGGGCAGTTCTACTCCTTGGATAAGGACTTTAGCGGCACGTTGGAGGTTTCGGAGCTGATCAAAGCGGCGAAAGAGGTGTGTGAGTTATGGATTGGCAGTTGGTGGCTGGGGTTTCGGATTTCCGGACGGGTGGCCAGGCACTATGGAAGGACTGTCGTAGCGTTGTGAGTCCCTGCCTGGTTGTGAGGTGGTGGACCTTGGGAAGGATGGAGGACATATCAAGGTGGGGTGGCGTAGGATGATAGGGTATGGTGATAGGTAGGGTGATAGGGTATGGTGATAGGTAGGGTGATATGTAGGGTGATAGGGTAGGATGATAGGGTAGGGTGATAGGTAGGGTGATAGGTAGAACGGTTATCTTTGTGGGGCTTGGGCTGTGGGGGAAGCTTGTATGGGTGGGTGGAAGCAGCAGCGGTGACAGTTGTGCGTCAAGAAAAGGAGAAGAGGAGAAAAGCGGAGTTGCGAATAGAAATGCTCCTCCTCCCCCTCCCTCAACCTGCACTTCCACATCCCTATGTGTGATATCCACGGACCCTGCCGCGACCCCGATCTCCAAGAAACCCCACACTCATTTTCCTCCCACACCAACCTCCTTAGCTAGCCCTTGTCGCCCGGTTGAGCCTTTCAGGCGACTTCCAGAATTTGCATCGCGTCTCAGTCACCTCTTGCTCATCCCTTGTGCCCTCAACCTCCCGCATCTCGCCTTCCCCATCCCCTTTGCTTCCGGTAGCACGGGTCGATGACTCCATCATCGCTTAGGACTCGTTCCCTAGGGGCAGTTTCGGGCTTTGGACGCCTCCCGGCAGTCCATTTCTGGTTTCCATGCATATGATTCCCATCCCCTCATCATTATGCCAAACCTTGTAAATCTCACTTCCCCCATCCCCATCTTCCCCCTCACGTAGGCCATTCCTGAGTTATCGGAGGTGGAAATCAACCGCATGTTTGAGGCGCTGGATGTGGACCAAACCGGCACCGTGGACGTCAAGGAATTTTTCGCGGGCCTTATACAGACCATTGACGAAGAAAAGCAGACGCTGGTGGCGCAAAAGAGTTTCACCATGTTGGACAAGTGAGGGGGGGCCTTTGAGGAGGAGGCGGGGGACGGTGGGCGGGGGACGGAGCAGCAGGGGATTTTGGAAGGAACAGGAGTTGCACTCTGTACTCCACGGCGTAATTGACGTGTCCTGTGTCCTGTGTCCTGAGTCCTGTGTCCTGTGTCCTGTCTTTTGAAGGTCCATGCAAGCGCATGACGACTTCCGACCATCCGCCTTTTGCCGCCTTACCACCTCATCCGACACACATTCGCACTTTGCACTGCGTTTCAACCGTTCCTCGCATCCCCCTTCATCCATATGGGTGTATAAAACTGGTGGTTGTTGAAAGATCTCTGCAGGTGCTGTGCATAGGGATTTACGCGATTGTGTTAACGTAATTGTAAGGCGTTATTTCTACGGAAACGGCATTCGCTTGTAGCAACTGTCTTTGTCCCATGGGGCGGTCTCTCTCTTCAGGCGCGGCTCGGGTTACGTGACCAAGGAGGTGTTTATGGAGGTGCTTCTGGAGCGAGTTCAGGCGGGCGCTCTGAAGATGTTGGGCGCCAGGGCAGCAGGTGGTGGGGACAGCCCTCTGCGGCATGAGGCGGAGCTCAAGCTGCATGGCCGGCAGTCGGGTGAGTGGTGGTCCGGGCGAGGGAGGGAGGGAGGGAAAGGTGTGGGCGGGTGGTTTGGTGGGTGGTAACAGGGCATGGCTTCGGTGAATGGCGCGGAGGAACGGAGAGGAGAGAAGGGGAGGGCGCAGTTGGTAAGTTGCAAAAGCCGCAGGCGCTGGGAAAAGCGATATCCAGTTGGCGTACACAAGGCCCAAAATGTTGGTAGCATGAAGGGGGGAGGTGAGTATGGACGCGCACTTACAAAGCCAAAGATGGGTCCGTGAACCCGTACCGCGGCCCTCCGCCCGCGAAGGGAAGGTGCTAGAGAGCCCGCCTCTTTAGCACCTTCCCCCCTTCCCTCCTTCCCATCCAGTTCGCTATTCCGGCATTCCCTTCAGCTCGCCCGCCTTCCACCGCCTCGTCTGTGCGTAATGCCCTCATCGTAAACGCCCTCGGCATCACCACCACCTGGTACCACGCGCACAGGGTCTGAAGGCGCCGACTCGAAGGTCATTTTGGACCCTGGTCTGGTCCAGGAGCTGGAGGCCGAATTCGCCTACTTGGACGCCAACGGGGACGGCGTCCTCAGCTTTGAAGAGTTCAAGGCCATTCTGGGCATCCAGTCCACACCCGAGGGACTGACCTTGGCACAGTAAGCAGTAGTGCAATAGCGCAGTAGTGCAGCTTTCACCCCTCCCCCCTTGTGCGCGAGCGCACACCCGCCGCCAGAAGGAAGAGAGAGGGGGGAAGGGGGAGGGGATACGCGCGTATGTGATTAAGTCAGAAGGAATTCGGTCACCAGCGGGGTGCTCAAGGGCTCAAGGGTGTACGAGCAGAATAGGGAACGGGGGAGGCCTTGATTAATATTCCTAAGCAATCATTGCGCAGTAACTCAAATGAAGTAAACCCAACCCTAAATAATGTACTGAATCCAAAAGGTCAAGAGGTCAAGGATTGGTCATATGTTTGGTATTTTTGCAAGGGCTCACGGGACATTGACATGACTCCTTTTCTCTCCTGGGGAGGCGGGGTGGGCTGCGTAAACAGCCTAATACCGCGTTGAGGGCGTCTCGTTTGGGAACTGCTTCGCCCTCCTCTGCGACACTCACCTATTCCAGTTCAGTCTCCCAGATTCCCACTCCTTTCCACTGCACTCCACGCGGCATCTGATCCGACTTGATGTGCAGTTGGTTGCTGCTGCCTTTTCTCCGTTGTGCGCCATAACTTGGGGACATAGAACCTTGCGGCGAAATGATGACGCGCTTCGTCGCTCTCCTCGCGCAGTGTCGCCTTGGTTCTTGTACATGTGCACCGTGAATGCAGAGGTAGCGACAGGGTAGTGGGATGGGGGGATGTAGGTGACGCGCCTTGCCTCGTGCTCCTCCCGGCGTCGCGCCTCCTGGCCTTTGCGACTTTCCAACCAAAGGCTGAAAAACCCTGAACCTTGTCCCGTTTTCACCCCTCCCTTGACTTCGAAATATTCCCATGCCAAAGCTCAGCCAGACTGTCGGCCAACACAACTCTGTTCACACTTCAAAGCCAAAGCACAGTCGCACTACCGCCAGGTGAATCAACCGGGCCTTGACTCGCTCCCGCAGGCCGCAGCTCGCAGCCGTACCTTCGCTTCAAGAAGGCATGGAAACGCTCGCCCAGACGCTTCGTACACGTACCCGCAGCGTGTCGAAGGACGAGCAGTACCAGCAGCCGCCCATGCAGCGTCTGGCTCTTGCCCGGGTTTCTCACAACGGCGGAGGCGGCAGCGGGACAAATGGTGGCGCTGGCGCCGGCGGTAACTGTGGGCCCGGCGCCGGGCCCGGCGTCAGCGGCGGCTGTAGCGGCGCAAGCATGACGGCCGCGCTGCAGCGGCATGGCGGTGGCGGAGGCGGCGGCCGAGCCAGCAGCGGTGGCAATACCACACAGCCGCTGAGCGTGGATCGCGCGCAGTTGGATCTGGAACTACCGATTGATTTGGAAACGAGGGACTTGTTGCAGCTGCTAGCGCCGGCGAAACGAACAGCGAGGTGAGATTCAGCGGTCCAGGAGATTGTGGATTGCTGTTTTGTACCCGGGCGGAAGGGGGTGGTGGGCAGCAGGCGAAGAACTACCTCCTCCAAGAGAACTTCTTGATACGTTTGTGTGAATGGCTACCCCTTGGTTACCTGGGATAATGTGGATGTAGGCAGCGGATCGAGAGACACAAAAACGCAGACAGACAGGTTATGAGATATAAATGAGGCCTTCCCTGGAGAGCCCTTCTCTCCCCACCACCACCACCCCACTTCCGCGCCCAGGGCCGCCACTTCCCGCCGGGATATGTTCACATCACCACCGCGGCGTCCTTCGCTACCGGCCTATTGTCCCCTGCCCCTTCCATCATTGCCTTGCGACACCGAACTCCCGAACTCCCAACTTTGCGAACAAGTCTTGGTTCTCCCGTTGTTCAGCCGTAGGAGCGAATTAGGAACAACCCAAGCAAGGCCAAAGTTACTATACTTAGACACCGGAGCAGAGGCCTCCCACACATGGACCGGGAACACCGGGCAAGAATACCTCACTGTCGTTCACTGTCTCGTGCCTTGGGGGCGAAGACTGCGTCGGGCGAGTGCTGTGGATGTGTGTGGCCCACACGTCAAGACGGGGCCGGCACCCTACCCACACCACACGTTACCCTCCGTGGATGCGGCCGCTGCGGTGTGTATGAATGTATCTTTTCGAACCTGGCTCAGCAAATCTGATTGAATCGGCTCGGCTTACGGCAAAGCAGCATGCCAAATGCTGTTGCATATAAACGAGACGACACTTCACGGACGCTTCATAGAACGCCGTTCAATGCGCAGTTCATTAAACCCCAACGCCACTCTCCCAATTTCCACACCACCTATGTGCCAAACCCGCAGGTCCCCGCGTTGAACATTGCGCTTCCTCCGCCCCCATCCCATTCCCCCAGCCGCCACCGCCGCTCTCGCTTAGCTTAGTTGCGTTGGTTGGTTATTGTTCCATCGTTGGTGTCGCCGAGACCTGAGTCGGCACACGGGGTTTTCGGTGTCCCTGAGTGGGTCGGCAGTATGTATGGCTGCCGCCATCCTGCATTTGCTGTATTTGGTGCATTTGATGGGCTGGTGGATCGCGCTTGTCCTGCATAGTCTCCACTACGGGACCTGAGTCCTGAACAAATATGATGTGTACTTCTTTTGCATGTCTATTCTTCCACCACGTATTTGCCGCTGTCTTTAGCTTTCCTATTTTCGTTTTGCACATAACATAACGAAACGAATATGATTCCTTTTGGCTGAGCTTGCCAAGATCTTGGATGTTCCTTGCATGTAGTCTATCTAAACTTTGTTTTTCAGTAATTGTTAACACTGTATCATATCATACGGCCGAGCGAAAAAAGGAGGACTTGCGCTTCGGCTTTTCACGACTTTGACAAGCTCCATTTTTTAGAATTTTTAGGATCTCTCTTGCTTGTCGTGGTGACCGCGGCGCCTCTTGGATAAGGTCTGATCTGTTGCCCGTGTTTTACAGAGGGCTTCACGGGGGGACTCACGTTGTCGCGTGGATGGGGTGACGGTTGACGGTGGGCGAGTGCGCGGCGGTGGCGGCGCGGGTGCAGTGACCGCATCCTCGCCTCTCGACCAGCCGACTCGTGCAACATCCGCTTTGCGGCAGTGCGATACCTTGTCGTTGCGGACGTTGGCGGCTACGGCTTTTTCCCTGAAAACAGCTGCAGATTGTTGTGAGTTGCGATTGCCCACAGCCTTGCCCACAGCAGTCCTTGCCAGCGCCTCTGTCGGAGTTTTACGCACAGGGCTTGGTTGGCAAGCAGGCAGGAAGCTTGAACCGACCCGCGGTTCACAGCAGGTGCTGTTAAACACGCACAACAACCGTGGCAACCCTGCAAAAGAAACACGCTCTCCTAAGTGTGCCTCAGCGACGGCGGCAGCGATACTTTTGGCTGCAACGGGAGCTGCCGCTCCTCCTCCTCCCTCTCCTCCTCTGCGCGCACAACCGCTGGCGGCGGCGGTGGCGGCGGCAGCGCCGTGGCTGCCGTCAGTGCTGAGGCCAGTCAGGGGCTGTCGCAGCGCGGCTCTCCTCGTTTTGTCGATTTCCCACGCATGCGGCTACGGCAGAGGCAGCAGCGCAATCGCCACTACCAGCGCGGCTCCGGGAAACCCACGGGTGCCGCTCCTCTTGCGCCTGTCTTAAACCCAACTACGGAATCTGGTACGACACTGTACAGCGGTCCGTATCCCACGACCCAGACTAAAACCATACATCGGCGCGGCAGTCAAGAGGCACCGGCAACTGTGTCCCACTACCACCAGCCACAACGGGCACCGTATTGGCCTCATCCCATCACCACCGCCATCATTAGTACCTTTGTTTGCTCGTTGCCCGTCGCCAACCTGCCGCAACCCCGATGACGCCTTCCTTCAACCGACCAAACGCACGTGTGCACGGTCGCCTCTCCTTCACCTTGCCGGCACCCACTACCACTCAACCACTCACCCACTACCTACCACTCACCCGTGGTGCGCAGCCAAGTACCACTCGTGCTCCATCAGCAGGCTGCTGGCGGCAAGGCGAACTCCGGCTCTTTCGGTGACGGCAGAGGCGGCGGCGCAACCGCGGCCGTTGACCGTGCCGCCAGCGTCAGCCGCCAGCCCAACAAATCCATGTCCGCTGGCGGTACCGGGGCCGTTCTCGTGGGCGACCCGCGGGTCGGCAGCTTTAAACGTGACGCGATGGCGTTAAGTGTCACCTTAACGCCGCGTTCCTCTCGCGCTCCTTCATCGAGTACGTCCGTTCCAGGCCTCTCCCTCCTTGACAAGACGCCGTCAATACGCGCGCCGTCGCTGCCGCCTCTGGCGGCCCGCCCAGGCTTGGAGTTCGACGGTTACTGTGGCAGGGTGAGCACCAGCGGCGGTCCAGCTTCGGGCCGCATGGGACGGGACAGTCCCTTGCTGCGTTGCAGCTCTTCTGCCGAGGCGTTGCAAACGGCCGCGACGGCAGCTGCAGCAGCAGCGCAAGAACTGTACGGCTGCAAGCCAGTCGATTACCAAGCGCAGGTACGGTGGCGGGACCCACCAAGCGGCTCGGTGCAACAGGGAATGGTCGGCAGCTCGGAGGTGCGGACTTTATCGCCGATAGGTGTGGCTGAGGCTGCAGCAAGGGACGAGCCGTCGCCGTTGCCGTCGCCGCGGTCTTGTGTCCTTTCGCGCGCCTCGGCAGTCCCGACTCCCCTTGGCGATGGCGGAGTTGCCGCCATCTCAGCGTCTCCCGCTGCGGCCGTCCTGGATGACGCGCCTTTGCTCGGTGGCTTCGTGCGAAGCTCTGACGCTGGAGGAGCGTCAGCGGAGTCAGCGGTGACTCCACAAGCCAGGAATAAATAGCAGCAGCCGAAGGTCCATGTCCGCATCCCGATGACTGTGCACATCGCACCCTGTCTCTACATGAAGGAATGGAGGGCGGTGGACTCCCCGGCGTCCCAGGCATTGAGCTCTTTTCCCCCTGTTGCGGTATTCCTTAATGAGCCGAGCTGAGAGAAATGACCAACTGGCACCACTCAGCGACTCAGTGCTGCTCATTTAATCTCTCTCTCACACACAGAAACTCACGATCACACACACGCACACAGCTCTCACCGCGGTCTTGCAGAGTGCACGCCACGGCGCAGCATGGCATACAGTGCGGTGGCGAATTCAAACATTTGCAGACGCCACCTGGCAGCCGGGGAGCACCCGGTAAAAAGTACCAAGTGCGCTGTGTGCTGTGCGCTAAAAAAAGGGCCTGCAGCTGGGGTTGGCATGGAGGGCCGATGATGCCGCGGGAAAGCGGCATATAGGAGGTCGCGGATGGGGTGAAGCGACGCATGGGGGTTGGTCTTCGTGGGCAAGTGTGTAGGTCAGGATAGTGGATGGGGCGATATGGGTCGCTCGGAAGAGGCGATTGTGCCCAACATCGCGCAGCGCAGGGTTTTTGTAAATAATGGGCTGACCTGGTAGATTGGTGGAGCGCAGAGTTGGCCTTGCGATTTGCGACCTGTATTGGGTTATCTGCATGGCGATGTGCCTGCGGGCAACGCTGGCTGTCGTACCGAGGCAGCCGGGGCAACCGGGTCGAATGGAGAAGGGGGCCGGGTAAAGCAGCTCGTCGTCGTCCTGCGCACACGCGGCCAGAAGGCAGATGCCTTCCTCTGCGTCCCTTTTGGATGTTCTTCCTGTACTATGGGGCTACATGCAGGGGCTCAAGGAAGGGTTAATTAGCACTATCGAGTGCGCAGTGCATAGCCTTGCTCTCAGACCGCCGGTATCCTCGCACTCCCCGCATCCCCACCACAAACCACTTATTCTGTTTGAGTGTTTTGCACCTCGACATGGGAGAAACGTCCTGGCCGGGTATGGGTGGAAGGAATGAGTTTGTTGGCAACGATATGTCCGTGGCTGTGGCTGTCTTGGGGACTGGAGCCACCATAGTGCTGCACCACTGCGGTGCTGCGGTGTGCTCCACACTGCGGGGGTTCACTTTGTTTGTCAAGAGGCGGGGTCAGATCAAGAGGCTTTCCTCGGAGGAGCGATAGACCAGCGGCCCTTCCTGTTCGACCTGCAGGGGTGTTGCTTTCGCACCCAACTTTAAGAATGTTTGTCGTGCTCCGTTGAACATGCCAATGACATAACGGATAGGACAACTGGAAAAGAACGTTAGGCTGCATGGCGATTGTGATTACCGTATGAGCTTGCGTTGTCTGCTGCTGCAGCGTAAATGCGAGTGCTCTGGCGCAATTCAGTGCTGCCATTATTGCGTTGAAGGAGTCGTTGAGGCACCGGGTTTCGGGGCGAAGCTTTCCATGTGAACGTAAAGGAATGTTTTGTCCTTGTAGCGTACAGTGCAGAGTGCCACACTAAGCGGGTGGGATGGGAGATACATGTGTCCCATCGCGTTGGATGCCAGCGGCATCTACAACAGCGTGTGAGAGACAAGGGACGAGCTTTTGAGTGAGAAAGGGGAGGCAGAGTCAGGACCACCAACCATATAACGATTAGGATGGCAGCAGAGTGCCGCGCCTCGTAAGATGCCTCGCTCGCGCCCCGTCGCGCACATTCACATATCGCGCACATATCCGTGCACTCATGTTGTGACTGGCATATGGGTATGTACGCATACACGGTTCTGTGGTCCTCCTGGATAGATAAGGGAGACCCTACGACAACGATGTTGTGAGGGAGCGCAGCGAGGAAAGGGGCAGAGAGGCAACGTGGGTGCAGGGCAGCCAGCCACTGCTCACCGCCCAGCTCGCGACGGATATTGGATATATCCCGTTCCTTGCTTGTGCTGCTGCAATGCGTTTGTCGTGATGTTTTCATTTCCCATGCGCAGCTCCTGCGCCGGCGAGCAGGAGAGATCGCTGCATGTCATGTACTGTGCCTGGGGCGCCAACAGCACAAATGCATGGGGAGATGCCTGGGGGGAACGTTTGCAGCCACGCTCCTGATTTTAATATTTGGGGAGGGCCTTTGACCCCCCGTGGCACCCTTGGCCCCTTGCCCTAGAGGGGCTCTCCCAGTCTTACATGCCATCGGCCGCATTTAGTGGGCAACATCCTAGCCAGGAGTTGCGGCCCTTACAACCCTCAAGAGGTAGTAAAAACACAAACAAGAATTCTGATGAGGGTTGCAGAGCGTGGCTGCCCGGTCGTCACGTAGGCTCCGAGCTCATTGGCTGCTCCAACAGCAGGCGCCGTCATTCGCCGGCTGGTGTGGAGCTATTATTTTTGCCTGTCTGCTGGTCTGCATGGTGCAGTTGTTTCGGTTGGGGCCTGGGGGGATGAGAGATGCTTCCATTCCAACGGTGGACCCATGGGTCGCAGGCAGGCCCTTGTACATCGTCTTATCCTCGCCTGACAACATTTGTATCGTACATCATCTTGCATATGATGAAATTGGGTATGTGTGGTTCTTATGGCAAAGGGCGCTTGCTTGAGAGCGTTGTGACAATAAAGGAACAGTAGTGCCACGTCAACCGCTGTGTATCAGTGTGCATTACATCTTGGCTCGCTCGTGGTGTATGGCAATGTACAGGGGCAAACACCAAAACTTGGAGTGAAGCATGTATCATAACAACGACCATTTACAGGAATGGTGCCACCCCGTAACGAATAACAAGATGTGCATTCCATTATTTGGTGACCTCTCATCAGCGGGCACACGTAATCTCGAGTGTTTTGGGGTGGGGGGTTGCGAAGATCTTTGCTTACCTGCGTTATACGAAATTGGGGCTGCCCAGCAAGGGCTGCTTCCCACTCCTAGCAGAAAGCACCAAGCACCAAGTGGGGGTTTGCCCAGCACCCGGAATTAAAAGGAAAGGACGGGAAATGTAGTGCAGACCAGACACTGTTGGCCAAACGTAGGCGTGGAAGAGATTACCTGTGACGCCCATCAGGAGGAGTGATTGAATGAGTTCCGGCAATCCGACTGAAACCTCCTTTTGGTCTACCATCCGTTCGTGCACTGGACACCAAGCAGCACACATGCTTATCGTCCGCGATTTGGATTGCCGTATCGCGGCATGCTTGGGCAAATCCGTTACCTGCCGCCTCCCATTACGCGCGCTATTCGTCGCTCGAGCCGAGCAAGAACAGAAGCCGAACTGTAGAAGAGCTTCGGTTTGTAAATTCCGGTGGTGAATGCACGCAACCAACTTGTGAGGTGAGGTCGCAACTCATGCAACACACCGCCTCTGACTGAGATGGTCGCATTCAAAGGGGAGACCATCCCAGCCAGAGGCTGTGTGTTGCATCCAATTCTTGTATCTGGCCACAACAAGCTGCTTCCCGTTTGCTGGATAGCTCTCCGTTCGAGTGGTCAAAGGAGTGGAGGTGGGCCTGCGCATCAGCCTGTCAGCTCGCTCCTCATGCTCCTGTGCATGGAGTTCTGACCTAAACGACACAGTCGAAAATAAGATGTGAAGATAATCTTTCCCTCGCTGCATTTCCCCTCGGGGTTGGTAATGGCATCCATGATTTCCTGGCGCAAAACCGCTTGCGCTACTGACCGGCTATGTTAAAGGTGACTCCTGCCGCCTCCTCAATAGCAACATAGAAATACATGATGATGTTCGTGATTGAAATCTACGGTTTGTAAGAAACTTGGCATTTGTGAGGTTTGCGAAATGCGCGTCCGTCTGAACTGATAGCAACGGGTGCTACGGGTGACGTTATCCGTACAGTCCAGGGCGCGGCGTGCACTGGCGGAGCTGCTCCGAGCCGCTCAGTCTATCACACCAACGCTGGACAGCAGGGAAAAGGTACGCAAGAACCAATTGCGGGGCATCTTGGTGACGCTGGCAAAGATGCAACCTACGTTCTGCGGCTGTGGCCGTCACCACCGACTGCTGACGACCTCCTCTGTATTCACATCCCTCGCGTCCTGTGGGAAGTTCTGTTGGGCTCTGGCCTCAAGCGGCTTATGCGCAGCCTCCGTGCTGCTGCTGCTGCTGCTGCTGCTGCGTCAACCGCGCATGTGGGGGAGGGCCTCAGTCCTCAGCTGGCCGCCGTCCCATTTGGAATTGGGAACACAGATGCTGCTCGTTCCCTCCTCCCCCCGGTCACCCTTTATAAGACACGCGCCCACGTACCTTTTCACCGCTGCTACAGAAAGGAAGCCCGACGCTCGATAATAATGTCCGGACCCTTCTTACTAAGAGGGCTACGGCGCTCGTACGGCGCTCGTAGTACGAGCGTCGTACTTCCTTCCTAAGCAAGTCCGCAGTCATGTATAGGTACACCGGGTTCCCCGGGAGGTCAGCAAAGCGCACCTCGTCACCTTCCATACTCTTTGCGCTATCTCCTCAGGTTTTCGCCCATCTGCGAAATGCAGCGCACATCAGCGAGCAGGCCGTCGATGAGGTGGGCCAACTGGCCAGCCAATACGCCCAGCTAGCGAAGAAGGTGCACGACCTGCAGAGCGACAGCATCAGCTGGCTCAATCAGGCTAAGGGTCGCGGCGGCTCAATCCAACACGAGGACCATCACCTCAAGGTGCTAATCGACAAGGCCGAGAAACGTGACCCCATCGTTCTGGCGGCGGCGGCGCCACGTACGGCACTCATGGCAGGGATGGGTGGTGTACGAGATGATTCATGGTTGTACTGTAGTAGGTACGGGAGCATTATAAACAGCGGGCGCGGGTGTGGCGTGAAGCTGTACGTGAGTTTGAAGCGCTTTGCGCCCTTAATGACGCGAGTGGTTGGGCGCAACTAACGGACAGTGGTTTCGGGGAGGAGGCGTCCAAGGCGGTGGGGAGCCTGCTGTTACGCGTGGATCGCGCGTTTGGCAGCTTTGTGGGATTCCAGGCTGCGGCGTATGCGACGTATACTGCGGTTAAGGAGGAGCTGCAACTGCAACTTGCCGCCCGACTGCTGTGGAAGGCAGTGTGAGTGAATTACTGAACTTGTAAGCTGTGCGACTTCAGCTAGTAGTGGGTACGTAGTCAAGCGACGTTAAGCCACAGTTGTAACAATCGATACGAGTGTACGGCACTTGTACGACCGCTGTTTGTGCGTAGTGACGTGCGCATGTGTGTATCACCGTACAAGGTAGCCTGTGTTTGTCTGTGGGTTTGTAGCTACGACCTAAAGCGATGAGAAATGACGATGCCCATGCAGCTGGCGTGCAATGCCATACCTGTTAGGGATCAAGGGGTACTGCGATGCCTACGGCAGTAGTGTAAAGTGAAGCATTGGATCTTTACCAGCGGGTGGCGATGGTGTGATAAGCCGGTGTGACAAGCCAGGATCTAAATTGTAGCTTGTGTCCTTACGGAAAGGAAGGATGGGTCACTGCTCGTTATAGTGGTTGACGGTTGTAACATGACGGTTGCGGGCGTTTGGGTACCGGATCTGCGGTACATAGCCATGGTTAATCGTACGCATGGATGGCCGTCCCTCCCACAATTGACCAAGTAAACCCAGGCCCGTAGATTCCTGCAATGTCTGGTGTGCGAGCGACGCGCACGGGAGGCTGTCCAGAACTCTCTCCTCCCTTGCCGTACCCAACCCCCAAGCACATGTACGGAGCTGTGAGTCATTATTAGTAGTTAGAGAAAGCTTGTCAGGTACGGAATAGGGCTACATAACAATTTCGATTTAGGTTTTAGACTGTACATAACCCCCGAACAACAATCCACTTGGCTTTGTTTCAGCAGACACCGTCACCTAACAAAAGTATACCAAGGGGCGTGCAAACGTTCACGAAGATGTCGGGTGGCGAGCGCTCGCTCTATCCGCCCGACCAGGCGACCAGCCATCTCAACCACACACTCCATGGCCAACATTATGACTGCATCACGATTGCATGAGCCGCTCTCTTGAAATCCCTCCTGCCCTTTCGATAGCCTCTGCCGCCCTCTCCCTCCCGTCCTCGCCCCCTCCTAATGTGACGCAGCCTTCCTTCTTGATGCCCTCCCAGCCCTGGAATCAAACCAAGTCCTGGCCTTGTAGCGACCCCTGACCCATGGCCCCGGCCCCGCCGGCCTCACACCTCCTCAGCTGCCCTCCCGACCGCCCTTCACTCCGACATCGCGACCGCGCCGCCCTCTCCTTCGCCTCCACCTCCGCCATCCTCCCCCCCTACTGCCTCCTCCTCCCTGGCCACCCTCTCCGCCACCGCCGCCAGCACCGCCTCTACCCCGTCGTCCCCCAGTCGGCTATCGCAGTCCGCCACCACCAGGTGCACCTCTACGGGGGTTCGGGGCCCCAGGTTGGCCAGCTGGAGCAGCTCCCCAGGGGCCAAGTTGTACGGCTGCGAGGGCAATGACGTACGACGGTTACCGGGGCGGGGTTCAGTACGCAGGAAAGATATACTATTAAGACAAGGGACAATAAACCAATAGACGACGAAGTAGAAGGAAAGCGGGAAAGAGAGTTGTGGGTGTTGTGGGTTTGAATTGCATTTTGCAGCAGCAGCAGCAGCAGCAGAAAAAACGCAACATCTACCCGACCTTACCGCAGCCCCCTCCTCCTTCTCCCGTGCCCTCCCCCCTCCTATTCGCGTTGGTGTTCAAAGAGTCACATCAACAAAATCATTCACGCCCAGATCCCCCCTAAGACTCCCCCACAGGCAGTTGCACCTGCAGCATCTCGAAAAACTCCTGGAGCTGCCTAGGCTTTAGTGTCTGAACTGGTTGGGAGGCGAGGTACTGGTAGGCCTGTCGCATGGGTGAGTACGGAGTAGTTAGTACGGCAGCCAAACAAGAAGCAGCAGCGCTAAAATCATATGCCCTGGATTGCGTGCCGCAAGAAGTTGCTCTGTCCTCACCATTCTCTCGACCGTCAACGCTTTTCCGCTACCATCTGCACCCCGCTCGGCTAGCACCTGTTTGCGGCGGCGCAGGGTTCCAGGCCGTGAAGTGTTGGTACAATTTAGGAAAGTCCTTCCGGCCGATATGAAGAGTTTTCCTGGATGTCTTAGTTCCACCATCCATTCAAATTCTCCCCTGTCTAAACGCCGTTTTGAGTTGTTCGATTCCCTTCCTTTTCTCGCGTGGCTCGTTTCTCCCCCTGTACGGGCCCCGTTGTCCGCTTGAGCCGCTTACCTTCAGCAAGTCCCTTTTGATTTGTGTGGCTGTGCTTGGTCCTCATTCCCAAGCCAGTCCATGACTGCGAGGGGCTACGATACTCATGTGGCTCTTCCATCCCGCCCGCCTACATGCGACCATCCCCCGGCCCCCGACTGCTCTGCGTGCGGGACCCCTGATTTTCTAAACCGAACAGCTCATGTATCAACACCCCATCTGTTTTGTTTATCTGACTTGCCTGCAATAGCTCGCAATTACACATGGCTGCGGCATTCGGCTGCAAGCTGCGTGTACGGGCGAGGTAATAGGTTGAGACATCTCCGGCGTGGACAAATGCTAGAAGCATGATAATATAGCTCACAGTTTCATGTCTGTCAAGCTCACTCCGGGATGGGACCGCCTCTGCGGCGGGAGGCGCGAAGAACCTTGGGACTATTAAATTGTTATCTCAAAGCATGCTCATATACAACCGAAATTGCATCGTAAAATTGTATCGCAAGGAGGTATCTTCTGATGAGACGTTTGCTCACTATCAGCGTGCAAAGAGTCGGGTGGCGTTCGGCGCGAGGAATGTGTCCATATGATCAGAGTGTGATTGGTTACAATCGTTGTTATATTCTTGCCTGTGCGAGTAATGCCTGTGCCAGCGACGCAACAAGCTTCAGTCAGGTTTCGCCGTAATTCGTACAACTGTCATCACGTCTCGTTCAAGCAGGGAGTACCTAAACAATTCACGTAAGGAACTTGGACAGTGACATTCAGGGGTGCTGACCAAAGGCGTCCGCTGCTCCTAATGCAGCTGAGTGCGTGCGGTGTCAAGGCGTACGACGGCTCACGACCGTGAGCACACCCATTTAAAATGCTCTGCAGGACCCGCAAGCACATCCAGCACAGTCCGCAACCAGGCGCACACAAACACGTGCAGTTCACGGCGTGGTTTACATGTTCATCTGATTAACGAGAAGTACCGACCTTCTGACAGGATCTTAGCCAGGGACAGGACAGTGTCACAAAACAACTCACAATGCGCCGCAACACATTCACCAAAGCTTTACCACTGCACACAACACAAAGCCAAGCAAAAGCCAAGCAAACACTTACAGGATACTTCCGTCCAAATCTATACTGTTTGATCCTGATCCTCGCTCACCCGCCTGCCGTCCCACGCCCCTTAGCCTCCTGACCCCGCCGCCTGCCTGCTGCCTGCGGTGCGCCTCCATCCTGTTGCCCGTACACCTACCCTTGACCAGCCCCTTCCGCGCGCCCACTACTGCCACAGCCCTCCACCTTCATGTGTCCCCAAAATGCTCCCTAGCCCGAAGGCCGTACAGCCCTTTCCCCGCCCGCCCCCCTTCTCTACCCCCAAACTACTGCCATGGCGCTCCATGCTGACTGAGCAGTCCAAACCGCAGGTTGGCATCCAGCTGCTGTGACAGGCGGCGCACCTCCTCCCACAGCGCCCGGTTCTCTTGCTGAAGTACGGCAATGTCGTTACGGTGCGCCATCTGCGATTTCGACAAAAGCCGAAGCAAAGCAACACATCCGCCGACCGACAGGGGTGTTGGCTCAAAACAGATCCGACAGGCAGGAACAGCCACGTAAGTAAGTGTGAAGATAGGCAGACATGCAGGCAGGTGCGTAGGTAGGTAGGTAGGTGGGAATACGTGGGTGGGGGCTTCGGAAGTGAACGTTGACATCGTTAATGCATTACCCTCGTACCCACTGCACTTGCACTGCTATAGCTCCTGTTAACGGTGTGCAGTTCAGTGCAATTGCACTGGGCACGAGGGTATTGCATTAAGGCATGTGACAGGTGGTCATGTGCTTCCACAGTGAAGGGCAGTATAAACACCATGTCCACGGAAAAAGGGACCAAACGCCACCCTGCATGCCACGTGAATCCGCCCCCATCTCCCCTCCCCTCCCCTCCCTGACCATCACATCTCCCCACTCTTCACTCAACACAGTCCCAAGCCCGACCTCGCCCGCTCCTTTTAACACAACACACCGAGCCATTTCCCAAAACCTAAGCAAGCAGGTAAGTACATGCGGGCCCCCCTTCCACGCCCCAACACACCTCAGCCGAGACGGCCTGCCTGACCATGTCCGCCTGAAGGCCGCGCACCAGGTCCCGGACCTCCTGGCGGAAGTCGTCCAGGTACGCTCTCAGGTTGGTCGCTGACAGCTGGTCGCCGCCGCTACTGGCGCCGTAGGGCCTGGCAGGCGGGTGGCCGCCGCCAGACATGGTGGGGCGGGGACTGCGCGGCCTGCAGTGGCGGCGGCGGCGGCGGAGGAGGAAGTGGAGGTGCGCATGGGTGCGTGCGTGTGAAGTACGGCGGATGGTAAGAAACCCATGAGCACAACGAGGGGCCTGGACGGGCGCAGTTGGCTGCAACTGAGAATAAATGTGTGATACGTGCTCATGTCAAGGGGGAAGCGTGTGGCTCCCACAGGATGAGCACCGATGGGCAGGACCGCGGCCAAACTCTGTGAAGAACTAGCACGAGGCAACAGCATGCCCCACGGCCCTTTCCCCGGTACTCGTCTCTCTTCCCTCCATCAGCTGCCCTTTTTCCTTTCCAACACCCACACACATGTTTCCGATAATCCCGCCCTCACTATGGGGAGGCCAGTACACCGACCGGGCAGACGCCCCAAACAACAGACCTGCGCCTTCTCAAAACGGCAGTCAAGCAACTTGGCGAAGGACGACGCGAGAACAGCTGACGCGCTCATGATGCTACGCTACTCCCCGGTCCGCCGTAGCGACGACAGGCCCAAACACCGACGCACCTTGGAGATGAAACGGGGGAGCTGGAGCTGACAGCAGCACCACCCGCCGCGAGCACCCGAGCCGCCGGCGATGGCTGCATCTGGCCCTCCGCACCCGCCGGCGCCTCCTCCGTTCCCCCTGGCGGCAGCCCCGAGGGTGTCGTACTGGTGCTCGTACCGCCGCCACCGCCGACATCGGACGGCCGCCGGTGCAGCCCCGCTGGCGGCACGATGCCGGGGATGAGCACGTGCGGGATTCCGGACGGACGGCTTCCCGGCGCGGCAGCTGGCGCACCTGGCTGCGCAGGCGGAGGCCCCGGTGCAGCTGCTGCAGGCCGCGTTGCCGTGGCGGCACCGCTGCCGGCGGCAGCGTTGCCCGTTGCTGAGCCCAATTGTTGCCGCTGCAAGGCGCCAGCTCCAAAAGAGCCAGGCGGCGGCGCTGCCGCCGCTGCCCCCGATGATGATGACGACGACGTTGACGCGGGTGCCGTCCTTGTGCCTTGAGCGTGCGCGTCTTGCCTCTCGGACGATGTCCCCTGCCGTTGCGAGCCTGATCCCGAGCCTGCAGCCATGAAGACGGAATAAGTGGTGGTAGCGTGTCTCTCCCTCTTCAGCGGCGGCTCCTCCTCTAGGGACCCGCCCGCGCCCAGCTGGGACGCCATCCCGCCGCTGCCCGGCCTACCGTCCACAGCGTCCGCCGGCGCGGCTTGTTCCGAAGCTGGTTGTGATTGCGGCTGCGCTGGCTCCGACGCCGACGCCGAGGGTACGACTGGAACCGCTGCAGGCGCGGGTTGCGCGTTTTCCCGGCTCTCCCGGTTGTTGTGTTCCCGAGATTCCCGGCTTTCCCTGGAGTGTCGGGATGTGGCGGGGCAATAGGTTCATGGCGGAAGAGCGGGAAATGGGTTTTGGGGTGTTCGGGGTTGCGCCACTGGAAGCATGGGTTGCTACTGAGCATTCGCGGGTCTCGGAGGAACACGATCCTGACGCGCCGGGCCATAAGATCAGCCCATCACCGGGCACAACATAATCACATAGTATCCTCATCATGCAGATGCTGCCGCGTTGGCATATTTAAGTATTGCCGGGACTGAATGGGGCCCCATTGTGAAAGCTCTTGATGAAACAAAGCGTAGGTGAAAAGTGGGTCTGGTTTGAAGGGGTATCTGGTTAAGGCGTCTGGTTGGGGTTGGCGCCTCCCACCTAATCCTCTGGAAGGCTATATCCACCACGTCCAGATGGGTTCCCAGATCGAACACCCTTATGCAGCCCAGCTTGGTCACGTTCTGCAGGAAAAGAGACGAGGGTTTGGCGGGTCGGGGGTTAGGGGGGAAGGCAAGGGGGGGAAGAGAAGAAGAATGAAAACGCCCGACATGTCCCAATTCATCCATCGCTTGGTTCTGGAAAGGAGGAGGTTTATAAAGATTCCGCGGAAGACATAGACCTAGCTCTTAACTTCATAGCTCAAGATCTAACTTAAAAAGGCTAAGGTCGTCCAGGCTCAGCACTGGCAGGGGTTCGGTTGCCAGCAGCGACCTGCTCATGCGGCGAGCTGGCCGCCATCACGTACCTGTCCGTGGCTGATGAGATCCTCCACTCGGATAAGGCCCACCCGGCCATCTACATGGACGAGACAAGGATAGGACAGGACATATGCACCCAGAAGGAGGGGATTAACGAAAGAAGCTTCATGGGATAAGCGGAGCGATGGCTGAAAAAAACCTGGTCGACTTAATCTTCGACCCTATCAGCACCCCTAAGCGAACCAACTTATCCGCACTTCCTTTTCTTTCCTTTCCTTGACTTGTACCCTTACCCTTGTTGGATTTTAGAATTGCATTTCAAATCCTTAGATAGCACCCAGAACGTAACAGCCGCATGACTGTACCAGCAACAGGTGTGTGTGGAGCTATACAGCCTTACCCTTGGTTCCGACCGCCACAAACTGTCCATCGTCCCGCACCGCCATGCAGGACACCGCCACGCTGAGCTCAACGGAGATGCTGGCCTGGCTCTGAACACAACACACACGAAACACATCAATAAAGCACGACGCAACAAACACGGTATTGCACAACGTAATACAATACAACGCATCATAGTACAATTCAAAAGTGGCACAACTACTAGAAGAAGCCGGCGGGGAGCCAGGGCATGAGACTCATGCAAAACCTGACCTGTACGTTCGGGAAGCTGCGCAGGTCCGTGATGATCAGCTGTCCGCTCTCAGAACACGCCAACAGCACACTTGACGGTTGCTGCGGGACGCGACGGTATGGAGTGGGACGGAAGGTCAAACGGGAGGACTGGGGATGGTATGGAAATATCACTTTGCAAAACTCACAAGAGATAACAGGGACTGGGATTGGGTGAGTGGGGGTTGGATGGTGGGATTTGTTTATAATTGCCATTGGGAAGCTCTGGGCCCGGGACAAGGTCCCAAGGGAGGAAGAAACGGCTCAGGAGAGGGGCTAAGTGAAGTGGGTCGGAGCCGTTCGCCAGGAGGGCGAAAAACAATACACCACCACCACCACCACCACCAGCAAAAAAACCACCACCGATGGCATTTGTTACGCGCGCATATCAGACACGCTGCGAGAGACGCATCGGCACGGAACGCCACTTTACATGCCGTATGGCCGTAGCATGGCACGATGCGGCCAACTGCCAAAACACTTCTCAGGTAAAAGCAGCTGCCCTCCCGTCAAGGAGTCACACTGGAAATGCCATCCAGCGTTTCGAAACACAACCCCGGGCATTGGATTTTATTGAACTGCCTTGGCATTGCACTGAACGGATGCGGGTGAGAACAGGCATCAGCGGTGACTGCTTGCATTGCCCAGGCATTGGACCCCATCATTTGTTCATTTCCCCCGGACTGGCTGCCTCCCCTCACCTTCTTGTACACCGCAAAGCCAACGCCCATGACCCGGCCGCGCAGCTTATTAGGCATCACTATTGGACCTGGGATGGGGATGTGAGCGTGTGTGTGTGTGTGTGTGTGTGTGACATACACGGGGGAAACGAGGTGATGGGGAGAACACAATTACTATATACAGCCGGAGGTATGGGTTGAAGGGTTTTTAGGGTTTTGCCTCACATGTCGCGAGCGGGTTGGGAATAGGGAATGGCGGCTCTGTTATGGGACGACATGCAGAAACCCCTTTCTGTAACAAGAAAGGCGTCCACTCGCAACAGGTCGCCGCGCACGCGCCGAAACACCGCCGATGCACTTATTATACTTGCTTCCTCCGTACCCAAATCGGATTCTATCGTTTCCCCCGGCTTCCCAAGTGCGTCAGAAAACTCCGCACCCTCTCACGCCACAGCCGGATGGGCGGAAAAAGACTCAGGATAGGGGCATAATATGATGGATGGATGGAGCATGGATTGCCCAAATAATCCATGCTCCGACAAGGCCCGCTTGCCCTGCCACACACTTTTTCTCCCACCCGGGCCCGGCGGACGTTATCCCCCCCAAAAAAAACCTGGCCAGTCATCTTCGCCTTCATAACTCTGCTTCACATGGTTACCGCCACCGCCGCTGCTGTTGCTCACCTGATGCCATAGGGGAGATCTGCCACACCAGCACCTGCCCGTCATCCGCGCCAGCTGCCAACCTGCATGCAACACACACGAGATTGAAGGACTTCATGTCCCGACACGTATTGCAGTCCTGGCTAGCGGATAAGTTTACGGATACACACATGCAAGCACAACCCCCCACACACGATTGAGGTCCACAACTGTTTCCTTCAGGGGGCGACGGTGACAGAAGCGGAAGCGCCAGCAGTCGCACCAGTATTTGGGAGCTACATCGCGCATCTGTTGGGTCATAATGATCGCCCGATCTCTGCGCCCGAACACAGTCCAGGTCTTTGGTGAAGGCGGTATGGCTCATCAATACCCAGGTGACCTGACCCACATCACCAAAGCCTGGGCGCTGGGTTGTCGTGCCCAGTCTGGGCACCCAATGGCTTCATGCACACACGGCGTAATTTATTGCTGCTCCCGGTGAATAAACTCTAGCAGGCGGTGGCGGCAGCAGCGTCTTACATCCGCGACCCCTTATCCCATCGCCCTGGAGAAAACACCCACGCAAGCGAAAATGCGAGGGCGGCCAAGGGTGGCCTGCCCGCAGGATAGGCCCCGACCGATATCCGAATGGAGCAGGTCATGATCCGAGCAGCACCAGCAGCGCCAGCGCCCGGCTGGGACTAACCCGACCCGACCCGATTATCCCAGCCCAGTCCAACCCGACCAGCACCCGACCTGAGCGGCTTGTTGACCTGCGAGAATCCCAGACACCGCTTGGGGGTCATGAGCATGGGACCACCAGGCAGTGCTCCCAGCGTGGAGCGCGATCCGGAACCAGCTTCGTGGAGGTACACGGCGCCGAGGGAGCTGCAGATGGTAACAGATTATATGGGGCCAGAGGCGAGGAATGCGGAGAGTGAGCATGGGTGCACACATGGCTGGCGCGGGGGGGAAGCACTCAAGTATAAATACAGCGCAGAGAAGCGAACAATGGAGCCGAGCGAGGTTGACCCAAAACAGGAATACCTGGCTGAAACGCGTGCATGTCACGGCCAAGGTCACGGCTGCACGCCCCATAGCCTGGTTTCTTTGGTAGTACAAGCGCACTTTGGGGGTGTACGCGTGCAAGCACACAACAATTTCAGAAGCCCTTGCGTTCATGTAAGCGATGTTCGCTCCCGGCGCAGTACCCAGGACTTTGTTCGACATGACGTAAGAAGTTTGTGCGCCGGCTTTCGAGCATGGAACCTGAAGCGCAGACGAACACTGTAGTACACGTTTGACGGTAAATCCTCTATAATCCCCGGGCAACCCGCCGCACTTGGATGAGGCAATGTGGGTGGTACTGAACGAGGCCGCGATCGCCAGGATGGGCTTGTCATGGTCCTGGAGCACAACCGCTGGCTTGGCTGGAGCACCGCTTGCTGAAGCCTGCGGGCACCGGGAAACGGCTCTAACAGTGAGGCCATAGACTTCTGATGGTGCGAGCGCCTGGCTGGCCTGTGGCCTCACCACTCTAAAGCACATATGATGGCCGCTTGGGATTATAGCTACAGAAATATGGGTGGATGGAAAAGGATGGGGGTCGCTGTGTGCCACGTCTTCCATTCGAGAGCAGTAGCACACAAGAGGCTGTTGCACACAGTCCGGGCCGAGGCACTACTTTTCGTTGTGGCATCACGTCCATCATGGCGCAGTGCGAAGCGCATGAGTAATGACATCAAGAGTTGTCTGAGTTACGGATAGGACTTTCACCCTCCCCCGCACCAACGCGCTGACCCTGGCAGCCTGCAACGCTTACTGTGGAGGGATGCATGCCCGTTTCGCCCCATCTGGCAGGAGTGCTTAAACAGAGAAAGTATGTTGAGGCTTTGCGAAAAGACTTTGGACTCCGCACGAAAGCCAGGCATGTCTTCCGGATGGTCAACCCAATCGTTGAGCCCACAGCGATTCCCTTCCCAGACTCACCAGGAGAGATTGTAAATCATACACGTTGATACTCCCCGGTACGCTGCTTTGTACCAATACCAAGCACTTGCCATCTCCGCTGACTCGGCCCATTAAAGGGCCGGATGGCAGCGACAGGATGACAGGCGGCTTTTCCTTTAGGTTATCAACCACATGGGCAGCTACATTTCCACCTTGTGTCGTCAGGAACGCTTTGCCATTCCTGAGCCAGTTGACACTGCCCTGAGGCTGTTGGCCCGCCTCTTGCCATTGATATGCTGGTTTCCCGTCTCTGTCTAAGCTGCATAATTTTGCGCTGGTACTGCTGACAGCAACAAAGATACCGGGGTCGTTCATCGCGGTATAACATGTATTCGCATGTAAAGCTCAAAAAAAACTTACAGGTCCCTGGTGTGGGATTACATGAAGTTAATCAGAATGCAACCATCACGATAACCAACACGATTGAGCAGGAAGGTAGAAAGTCAAACGGATTATCCCGTACGGATTCTCATTTTAACACTTTAGCCTTTGTCAAAAGGAAATACTGCTTTGTCTATTACCTTGGTTACTGATTGTCATATGGACCGCTGGCATTCCATGTATAGCTCAATTACGAAGCCTGTCGATTTGAATTTTTGTTTTGTTGCCTACTACTCTGAGCTCCCCTGGTCGCCATCAAGTCCAGCTCGTTTCGCTGAATTATTACTCCGGGAATCCTGAGATGGCCTCTTCTACTTGCGTTATTGACGGGTTACTTACGGTGCGCGGTGCGTAACGCAGATGTGATGTGGGGAGTTGCACACAAAGCATGCAGATCTAGAGATAATTTACATTCATGCCATTGTGGCAATGGCATTTGTAACGTGCGACGAAAGGGGCACTTTGAAGGCTTTAGTCGTGGCGCCAGTTTTTATGGCGGGGCTTTGCAGCAGTGATCTTTGCTATCTTATCGCATTGGGTGCACGATAGGGTAACGCAGACATCTTACAGTGATAGCGCCATGTGGGTTGTGCCAGTGCAATAGGGTGTTGTTCTGGCTGGTAGGCCCGCTCATACATCGCGCGGTAACTTTCCAGGCCAGGTGAGCGGACAGCTAATGTTTTCTGCGCCTCGTTAGGACACAGGCACGGAAGGGACAGCATGAACGGGTGAGGAGCTGCACGTTGAGGTTTAAGGAGCTGTGCCCCAAATTCTCCAAGGCGCGGCAATGCAGGCGCAAACCTTGAAGGTGACACACAACAAATCAATGTGCGCGTTGCGAAGCAATTTTGGCAACAGGGAAAACCAAAGGGATGATGACGCGGGACGTTGGGACGCGCTTTCGTGACGTGGACCCTGCTTTTGGTGGTTGTTTTCTCTTGCGATGGGTCCCGTACTTGGAGCCATCAGTTATCCACTACTCACGCGACTGTCGGAAGCAAAGTGGGATAGGTGGAGCAAATTGTGATCCTCAAAGCATGGCTTAGTGGCAGTTAGAGTTTACTTGAACCGCATCGTCTTGTCGCGCGTTTGCACTGCACTTTGGGATGTTGCCGTTTGTGGGTAAGAGCGATTCTTGCAGTGCAGGATAAAAGCCGCATCCTGTTACAGCACAAAAGGTGTGAACCTGAAGATTGACTTCGGCACTAACGGAAGATGTACATTATGCCAGGTGCGAAACAGCGCGAAGGGGCAGGCCCTCAATCCTCTTGAGTGAGTGCTCGGGTGTGTTCTCGTGTGGCAACATTTCTGGCAACATCCATTGTTGATCGAAATCCAGTCCAACGCGCAGTGAAGGGCTTTGGGGTTTAGGCAATGTCCAAAAAAACCGCGCACATTCTCTGCACCCCGGCGCCCCGTACAAATCCTAGACTCCGTAAAAACACAGAGAAGCATCCGCAAAGTCAGAAGCATCCGCGCAAAAGCAGACAGACATAGCTCATGCAGGTCGCATCCCCTGGGCGCTAAGCAACACTACCCTGCTCCTCCAGGAATAGGACACAGCAAGACGAGCGCCGGTGCCCGATAACTCCTTTCTTATTAAGCTGTACATCGTGCTTGTCCATGCGAGTTATCCCGCCATCAACTGGCGCGTATCGAAAAATCCGGTCCTCTTGTACGGCATGAGGGTTTGTACGAGGTACGACTCAATGGAATACACCCCCGGGCACCAGCTCCCTGATCACCTGGCTGCACCGCAACGCCGCCGCGGCTCCTTCCGGAACCACGATGAACAAGTTTACTCCACCTGCCGTACGAGAGTACGACGACGACTGCTGCATTATGGGGCCGACGCTGTTCCCGCTGCATGAGACCTCACCTTGTGGTGGCGCGATGGATGAAGCTGCATCACCTTTCGAGGGCCCAGTACTAGATGCTGTTTGCCTGCCAGAGCTGTAGCCAGAGCTGTACGGCGCCATGTGAGCTGCAACGGTAGTTGTGGCAGTTGCAGCGGTTGGACTTAACACACGGACCCTATCCGGTGGCACAGCCGCCATGACAGCCGCCGACCAGGGCGGGCTCGGGGTTAGGAGTGACTGAAACTGGACTGGCCGGTTCTGGAGCCGGATGTCGCCATCAGTGGCTCCAGAACTAAACTCCAGATCCCAGTACGGCATTTGCCAGCTGGTCAGCATGGCATCCTGCATAAGATGTGCATCATGAGATGGCAAGGGACGCAACGGGGGGGTTGGTCGGGGCCGGCGGCGGTTGCAGCAACGTATTGCATGCGCGTTTCTTTCCCAGCTGCCATAACGTTGCAATGATTCCTACTCCGATGGTCTTAGGCCTTCACGCCGTTTCTTTGCATCGTAACGCAATGTCTATTGCGATTCAATTAAGATGCAGATTGACTTGTCGCACCTGTCTGCAGCACACCTCGGCCATCATGCCCATTTGGGAGCTCATTGGAGCCGTCAGTTGAGATTGAGCGGTTTGGAGCACCTGCGTGGCTTACACAGGGGTATACGGACAGCAACGAAACGGGGACGGCCGATTTTGTGTATGGCGGACTTTCGGGGGTCCAGCATCCAGTCATTTATACACCACGAACTCCACTCGAAAAATGCCATGTAATGAACAGCTAAAACATGAAGGTGTCCAACGTTAACTCGTGCATGTGATGTTATTGCACATATAAGCGCACCGCCGCCATCTACCCTTTTAACCACCCACCTGCTCTGCTCCGTCGGGACGCTCCCTCAGCTCTCTCAGGCAGCCCCGAATTGCCGCCGCGCCGCTCCTCAGGCAGCACACTACACAGTAGCTGCCACCTCGAAACCGGGAATCAACAGTGCTCCCGGCGCCGCAAATGCGACCGATCCCACATGCCGTGCACCGAAGGCCGCCGGCGTCGCTGTGTGCTGCGTGGAACAGTCCCTTGACAGCGTCGTTGCCGTCCGGGTCGCTTGCAGGGGCAGCTGCTGCCGAAACCGGGGGCAGCAGTGGTGACGGTATGTGCAAGCACCAAACACCGTTGCCGAAGAAGCCAGGTGGTACCGTATCTGCGGGTGCAACGCCGCCACCGTCTCCGCTGCTGTCGGTGCTGAACAGCTGTTGACTTGGCCGCGGATGAAGCCGACCGTTTCGCCGCAGGTCGATGGCAAGACCCATATAGCCGCCGCTACCGCTGCTCACGCTATTTCTAGCTGCATCTGCGCCCGCTGGCAGGGTGCCGGGGAGTGGCCGCCCTCGAAGATCGCACATCAGCACCCACACCAGCGCCGCCAGAGCATCATTGGTGCTGATGGTGGCGGTGGTTGGAGATGGAGGGACCGGACGGGCAGGTGCCGCCAGTGCCTGTAGAGCAGCAGATGCGAAGGGTGCGTCAACCGAGATACAGTAGCAGCGGTGGTGGAGTGTCTGCTGGGTCGGGCATTATCGGGTTGGTTGCGAGCGTGTAAGCTTTCCAGGTGCTTGATCCAGTAACCTTGTGTGCTAGTTGTGTTCTGTGCTAGTTTGGAGGTGTCTTGTGCAGGTAAGCAGGACGTGAGGCACGGAAAGGGCCAAGGGTGTGCGTGCCGAAGCCGACGGTGCTTGGTCTACGCTGCGAAACGGACACCACTCACACAAAAGGCATGATAAAAGTATTTGCGTATGGTTTCTAGCCGTCGGTGAATGCCATGAATGTACGGCGCGCGTGCAGACAAATGTATGCATGAACTGACGGAAATCCGACGTGAATGGATGGAGGGCGGATGCAACCGGCTGGCATCATCACCAGTACAACAATTAATGCGACGCTGGTGCGTATGGTGTTGAATGTCAGGGGAGGTTGTCCCTGCCTGACAGCAAACACGGGACATCAGGGCCGCCCATCCAAACTGACTCTGAATCTAAAAACCGAAAACGCAAACCGCTAACCGCCAGCTTTCGCGTGCATATGCGACGACCACAACACCGTGACCCTGTGTGGGCAATCGTGCCCGCCCGTTTTTACCTTCAACCGCGCGACCTGATCGGGCGGCAGATGGAGCACCTCACACACGAGGGCGCGACCAGAGGCGCCCCTCCAACGGCGCTCCTCCGAAACCACGTTCCTCAGCATCTTACCCATGGACCGCAGCGATCGGGCCCAGCCGGCTGCGGCTACCTGGAGCGCGGGGTTGGAAGTAGAGATCAGATCAGGTAGGCTACCGGTCTCCGAAACCAAACAACCATTCGTGTCCTTTCAAAATAATAAAGTACATCTCTTGCAACTTGCAGTACTTGAAGTACCCCTTCATCCCCAATCAATCCTTCCCCCAAGAAAAATGAGGCGACTTTTCCTTTTCCGCCCAAGCGAATATCATATTATAACGTGTTGCAAGGAAATCGGGTAGGAGCTTTCTGTCGCGACCAGGAAAGAGCATTCCGAAGGAATTGGGATGCAAGCGAAGCAGGATGTGCCACGTTGCGGGATGGGGGCCCTACATGCTCCGGTCTGGATCGCATCCTAACGTAACATCCCACTGCCATCTTTGATTCCTTTCCACTGGATCCCAGGGATCCGCTGGATCCGAATCCTGGATTTCAAAACCCTCTTCATACCTGTTGAATCGTCAGGCTACTTAGGAGCCCCTGACTGCCGCCGGCTCCAATACCTCCTTCATCTCCTCTGTCAGGACCGCCGCCGCTGCGTGTGCCGCCGCCGCCGCCGCCAGCAGGTGTGCCATAGGAGGCGTCGACGTCGACGGCGGCCCGGGAAGATCCTGGCTCCGGCTCCCAACTCGATACATCCCTAGCAGGAAAGAGCAGCGACCGATCAAAGGTAACCTGCTGCGGCTGCGTTGGCGGTGGTGACGACAGCATCAGCTGCTGCTGCTGCTGGTGCTGCGACGGCTGCTGCTGCGGTGGCGGCAGTAGTGATGGCGGTAATGGCAGCTGCTCCGGATGGATAGGCATCTGAGGTGATGGCCGTGCAGGCGCCGGCGAGAGCTGCTGTGGCGGCAGTGGCGGCGGCGGCGGAGGAGGAGGATGTGAGGGCGACGGATAGGTCGCCGAGGTGGAAGCCGCGACAGAAATTGAAAACCGCGGAAGATCTGGAGGCTGTGTCGGCTGGATGGCGGTTCGCTTCCGTATGATGGTGCAGATGCCAGCGCCGGCACCTGGCTTTTCGCTCGGATGCTGACACGTTGGTGGCGACTTTGTGTTCCTCCAAGGATCACCACCGTCGACGTCGACGTCGCCGCTACTGCCGCCGCACCCGCCGCCGCCGCCACCGCTGCCATTGCCGTTATCACTGCCGCCGCCGTCGCCGTTGCTGCTGCCGTAATCAGTGTTGCCGCTTGCGTGACCGCAGCTCCCACCAGGTGCCGCTCTAAAGAGGATGTTGCTGCTACTGCCTGCTGTGCTGCTGCCGCTGCTACCGCTGCCACTGCTGCTACCGTTACTGTTGCTGCGCTGCTGCTGACTTCTGACGTCGGCCCCGCTGTATCCCATGCGGCGTGTGGAGACCGTTTGGCGTGGTTCCAGATCTTTGGCTGTAGCTCCGACGTCTGCCACCGCTACTGCTGATAGCCCCCTCATGCCGCCCTTTTCCTGGTCCGGCGAACCCGCCTCGTCCAAACGAGGCTGCGTCGCCGCCGCCGTCCCTACCGCAGTAGTTGCAACTGGGTCCGTTGTTGCCGCCGCCGCTGCCGCCGCCGCCACCGCTGCAGCAGCAGCTACAGCTGCAACATCAGCCGCTACCACCGCCTCCAGCGGTGCAGGCTCTGCCGCCGCGGACGATTCGGACTTGGGGTCCGCTGGGGATTCGTACGGCAAAACGAGCAGCTGCCGTGAGGATGACCCTGACGGCAATTGTGACTGTGGCGGCTGTGGCGGCGGCGGCGAGTCCGGCGCCGGCATCGGGGGAATCGTCGTGGCGGCGGCCGTCACCTCTCGGTAGTTGGCCGCCAACCGCTCCAGGAACCTGCAAGCTGAACGCCCATCTGCACAATACCAAACACCTTTTTTCCGAGACCTGTAAACAGAGATCCGCAACCTGACTCGAAGAGATCGAGGGTACGGTTGCTGGTTTGTTCACAAAAATGTGTGCTTTGCTTTAAAAGTCAGTGAGTCAAACACGTGAAATGTACAGATGCGGCGGGACCTAAGCCCCGGTAAAGGCCGGGGCATCGTAAACCCTACAAGAATTAAAACCCACCATCACCACCACCACCATCACAATCATCATCACCATCATCAATACCATCACCATCAGCAGCGGCAACAGCGGCAGCAGCAGACCCACTCTTTCCCCCTCACCTATCACGGCGTGGTGGAGGGTCACGGCGAGAATGCACCCGCCGTCTCCGAGCCCTGGACCCTGAGGGGCCTCCCGCTCCCACTCTCGGGTGGGAATCCTCTCGGTTGGCGCTGTGGCAGGCTCTCGGACGGGGACGGCAGCGACGTTAAGGACCGGCGCCGGCAAGTGGCAGCTGCTGGAGCTGCCGCCGCCACCGCCGCCGCCGATGCTGCAGCTGGTGCCGCTGGCGTACAGGCTGCCGCGGCGGTCGCTGCGCGGACCCGCGGGTAGCTGGTCGTGTGGCAGCAGGTGTGTCAGCCGCACCTTTAGCAGCGGCTCCCCGCCGTACAGTACGGCATCGGTGTCCATGGGCTGCGTGCCAATGCATGACGTACGGCGCTGGCGTCAGATTAGCGGCTTGTGGTGAAAAGAAAATGGTGCGGAAAGTGCAGAAGGAGGAAAGCACATGTGACACGTTTTCGTTCCATTAGCGGGCGGAGGAAAGGACTATACCTGGGAAGAAGCTACTTCGACATTGCTACAGGAACCTGCTGCCGTGTTTGAGCAAAATGTAAACGAATCAACCTACCCCAACACTGCCATTCAATTGCTGAATTTTGTGCTAATGATGAATAATTTTCTATTGGAACCTTACGCTAGGCAGTACGGTACGGCACTGAATGACTGCCGTACCTCGAAATACGGCGGCAACTCGCTCCCCATCTGGGTAAAGGCCCTCCTGTTCAGTGCTGCCAATGGCAGGAAATACTCCAGGGGGGCTGTACAGCTGACGGCCTCGCGCAACGTCGCGCCGCTGTTGCACAGCTGTACGACAAAGGCGAGACTGCGACGGGCGGCTAGCCTCTGAAGTCGGCTGCGTCCTCCGTTAATGGACGGCCGCAGCCTGAAGTCTCATGGGGACCGTTGGGTTAGGTCCCGTGCTTACGGGAGTTGTGCCAGTTGGATCGGTTAGGCAGTTGGTAGCTAGTCTAAACTTTGCCTCGTCATCAGTTGGTTGGCGCCCTTGGCGGCTCTCACAGGGGACATCCTTGCTGGTCTCGTACAGTCTCGTACAGTACTTCATGACGGTTATACATGGAGTATAACCGTCGGTATACTTCATGACGGGTAATAAAGTATAACTGTCATTAACTTAACACTGCTCACATATAAGAGAGAAACCCACATGGCACGGTGCGCAACCCCGTCACACACCCACCGGCCAGCCAGCAGCGGAAATTCGTCCAGGGTGTACGATAAGGCAATGGCCAGCTGTCTACCATCCAAGTCGTATGGTAGCCACAACGCCTTAATACGTACAAAAGGCGGGATTAGCGAAACGGGGGTTGGGGTGGGTGGGGCCAGCCGACGCAGCTTGGTGTGATGCGGTGCGAGCTAAGGCGTGTGTGCAGGTCCCGCGGCACTCCATTGCCCGGGCATTTCCTAGGAAGATTTGCAAGGATGTCAGTCCCGGGTCTGCACAGCCTGATAAGGTCAAGTTAATGGAGAACTCCGGTTTGGGCCCACTTGCAGGGGGCGTTCACTCGAGTTTCCTACTTATCATCCAAGAGGCAGGGGCTCCGACCTCGCTAGTGCGTGATAGCAAGTGTGCAAATCGTAATTTGAATGGATCCTTCAGGTTCTGTCGTACCTTCGTGCTCTTACCTTTGGATTGAGACAGGTGAGCAGCATGCCGTGATCCAGCGGACTTAGCTGCAAGCGCAGAGGCCGGTTGAAACAGGGTTGCAGGGATTTGGGAGGTAGGAGAGAAAGTGCAGCTGCAGCTGAAAAGGAGCAACAGCAGCAGCAGCAGCAGAAACCTACGAATACGATAATTCATACGAAAGAAATTCGACTGCTGTGCTGAGTAGGGTACCTCTACTTCCATCTACTAACACATGTACATACATGTTATCCGTACATGCACCCGTTTGCGCTAATTCACAAAACTTTGGGAGTTGTACTCCTAGCCTTCCAGCTAACTCTTGCACACCTTCCCAAGCTTCTGAGCTTCCCAAGTTCCCTCACCCTGATGTTTTTTGGGCCCACCGACCCATGGTTCAGTTGTGACGGTGGCGGCTGCGCCGGACGGTTTGCGGCGCGGATGGTCTGCAGGGGCCCCATCAAATACGGGCTGCCGGGCGCCGCCGCCCCCCGGCTGGTCACCGGGCGGAAGAGGCATCGGCGTCGGTTGTATCCGGCCCGCGTTGCCGTATCCTGTACGGTAGTACCCAAGGTGGAGAGTACGAACAAGATGACGAGGAATACCGTGTACGTCAGGATCAGGAACACAACGCGGGTAGTAGCATGCACACGGATGCCCGAACTCCTTTTGGACGACGCTAATTACCGACAGTGATTGCTATTGTGTGCGGGCAGCCACACGGACCGCACGGAGGGCTGTGATGGGGTGGTAGGGGGTACTTGTGGGTGGGTCGTCGCTTCCCCAGCACCAACCTCACCGTGATGATGAAAGAGGAGACGCAGGGCGGTCTACGCCCTCCCGCCCTCCCGCCCTCCCGCCCTCCCGGCCCCCCATAACGTGACAAGGTAACCAGGTCCCCAAAAGCACTGGTCCTTTGCGCCAGGCATACACGCCCACGGCCTTCAACACACCTCGGCAAAGAAACCATCGGTAGCGTCCAGTGGTGGCGGCGCCGTCGCTGCCGGCAGTGCCGCCGCGGCACTCGCCGTCGCCGACGCCGTCGCTGCACTCCACGCACCGCCGCCGGCGCCACCGTCCTCTGAGCTTATTTGGAGGCTGCCGCCAGGGGGAAGAGGGACCGCTAGCGGCGGCGGGTTCCGGGAAGCCGAGGGAAGCGCCACGGCGTCCTCCAGGGGACTCGCCAACGGCTTTGGCGGCGGCTGTGAAGGCGGTGGCAGCGACGGCGACAAAGAAGTCGATCCCGCACCGTCGGATGCCACGACGGCATTATAAGCGCTAGTGCCAAACGCTCGCGGGCTCTCCGCGAATGTACGGCAGCAAGACAGCGGGACCGAAGTAGCCAGCATGTGAAGAACTCGAGCGCCGGTCCCGGATTTCGCGGTTGCAGCTGTCGCCTGCAGTGTCGCCCCAGCTCTGGCCTGAATCGGCGGCTGCGGCGATGCCGCCGTCGCCACCAGCACGTATTTTGATGCCGTACAGGGACTTGCATCCGGCCTGGGGCTGTGCCTAGCGGCAGCGTCGCCGCCGTCCACCGCTGCCTCGCCGCTTCCGGCGGCGTCAACGCCGGTGCCACAAAGCCCAGAGAGGATCGATCGGCGCCCCGCAAACTGCAGCTGACTCATGGCCAAAGTCGGTCGGTTTGTCTGTATGTAAACCCGTCGGCAGTCAACGCCAGTCAACGCTGGCAATGCTGGGGACGGCCTTGCGCTATTGCTCAAACAAAGCACTTTCCTGCTCTCAGTCGCGTCACTTCCTTTATTCGCGTTTCTGTCTCGCGTTGAGTTGACCGACCCGATTGAGCTGCAGCTGCCGGTGGCCGTGGGGAGTGACGGTGTTGATTTGAATGGGACAAAGTGTTGACAGGATCTAATAACTGAAACGATTTACGTATGGGCAGAAGGACGTCCTGACGAACACAAGGAGGGATGAGATGGAAAAAGCAGGAGAAGGTGGGGCAAGGGAGGGGAGAGGGAACACAAATCGACCGTTGTTATGCCACAGCAGCAGCAGCAGCAGTAGCAGTAGCCACACAAGCGGCAACACCAGCGCCAGCAGCAGCAACAGCAGTCGTTTGTTGGCCATTATGACGACACGCGCAGACAGATAGAGGTGGAGAGTGGAAGGTGGCGCGGACAACGATTACGAAGAGAAGAAGAAGACGGCGGCGGCGGCGGGATTTACGGCGGCGGTGGTGCCGCCCCTACGGTGCCCCTTTCCTCCGCTACTCTCTCCCTCCTTTCCTCCCTCCCTGCCTCCCTCTAGCCAATATATCATTCTTCCATGTTCTTTTCCATTATGCCATCCACAGACCAGCCGAGCTTTCAGTGAGTTGAGGGAAACACAGGGAATGCGAGAGCACGACAGAGAGACGGAGAGAGAGGGAGAAAAGTGGAGGAAGGGAAGGGGGGAGAGAGAGAGGGAGAGGGGGAGAAGAGGGACTGAGTGAGGCCCGCAGGCGACCGACCTGTACGGAGTCAGTGAGTCCCCGTGGGCCCTACACCAGCGGGCTGCACCGGGGGTGACAGTGGGCTGAACCGCAGTGCACTGATGTCGTACAGCTTATTGCTGCTAGCATCACTGCAGCCACGGTGCTGCAGAGACGCCAGCGGTGGTGGTGGTGCTCGAGCCCGGTGCTGGTGCTGGTGCTGCAGTCCCAGCAGTCGTGGTGGCGGGGGCTAGCTAGCTGTGGGGAATGAGAATGTCCGTAGTTTGGTTCGACTGATGCTGAGTTAGGTCGTGAAAGGCGGAACGGGGTGGTATTAAAGTGGGCCGGAGGAGATGAAACAGCAAGGGTAGATCAGCAAGACGAGGGGTGTGAGAAATCAGCAAGATGGGGCATCAAGGTTGCAAAGGGCGACTAGCAGCCAGATGTTGTCAATCTTTTTCGCATGTAATCTAGTGCTCCATCTGGCTACTCTCGCACATTTTAAGTTGCGCGAATGAGGTGTTGTCCATATGTTTTTCTGCGTATGATCGTCGGAATAATAAAGGAGTGCGGGGGCCTCAGATTTCACGTCCGAATGGGTTTAGCGCTTCAAAATTCCCCTCCCTGATGGGCCTCTGATAGAGATGCAGCTCTGAGGGTGATGTGATGTGATGTGATGGCGTCGGCTCGTGAGACAGGACGGGCGATTGGCCCTGCTGGATAGGTCTCTTTTGATATGTGCTGTTGCTGTATGTTTCGTCTTTCGTGCGGTCTTGGAAGGGCCTAAGGGCACCTCAAACCGTCATGTCAGCAGTCGCGTGATCGATGGACAGGAAAGCAGATTTATTCGTGGGAGACGCTGTTTGAATGCTTCTTAAGTCCCCACCATTTGAGAATAGTTAAACGGATGAAACCACGTTAAAAACATATGCACAGCAACCGACTCGCCCCGTTCAGACGGTCGATCTGTTTGGCTCAAAAAGGGATCCACTAGGAAACGACATTTTTGCTCCCGAACATCAACGCGACAGGAGTCATGCGCTTGTCTGTTGCTTTTTCCAGGAGAGAAGACTTGGGGATGAATAGCTGTTCAACGCTAAAAGCGCACCTGCGCCGATACAATTGTTTGCGCCGTACTTTACTGCACGGATCGGGACCCACGGGTCAAAATCCATTGAATAAACGGCTCGTCCCCGGCGCCATAACGAAGGATTATTATGCAAGATACAAACTCATACTTCCTATCTTATATGCCAGAAGTGCAGACAACATTAACGTCTCACATCGCTTTCAATTGACAATTTCTATTGGCGAAGGCAAATCTGCAAGTACAGCTCCCAAGCATCGTTTCGAAAAGTCTCCCTGTAAAGCGCCTAACCTCGAGGGAAGGGGCCCCCTCCTTCTCCTGCCTTTCTCCTCCCCTTTATCTTAAAACGGCGCTGTGGTCGCGAACACGCCTCACGGCTTTTCTAATCGCACTGCTTTGGCGTCACAACCTACGCAAGCGCTTACTGGGCCCCAATCTTGACTCATTCAGGCTGCCTTTCCGATAGGTTTGGAACTTCCAGTAGTTTTTCAGGTATTTATTTCCAAGGGCTCATAGAGACCTCTCAAAGAGCACAGCAACAGCAGCATTGTATAAACTGAAAAAGCTCCCCTTCACTTCAAAGCGCGGTCATGGAGTCCGACAGGCGCCAAGCGGACGCCGGCGGCGGTGCTGCCGGCCCAACTCTTTTCACTGTCGTTGGCTCGGCGGCGGCTGGCATCGGCTTGGGCCGCGACGATCCGAGCGGCGGCGACCAAAATGTTCGCAGCGACGACGCCGACATGCCGTACCCCGACGCAGCAGCGGCCGCCGTACGAAGCCAATTCGCGGCAGCGCTGCCCCCGATTCGGATCATCGCCGGCAGCAGCGGCGGCGGCGAGGCGCCACCGTACGGCGGCCTGCAGGATGTGCCCGACGCTGCGGCCGGGCTGCATCATCATCACCATCATCACCAGCAGCAGCAGCAGCAGCAGCAGCAGCAGCAGCAGCTCCGTCAGTGTCTCCGTCAGGTTCCCGCCGCCGCCAGTCCGTCATCCGCGGGGTCCGTTGGCGCGGGAGGCGAGTTCGGCAGCTTGGCTTGGCGGCCGCTCTTATCACCCCGCTCTGCACCCTCTCCCCGCACCAACTTTGACCTTGAGCAACACCTGGTGGGTCGGTGGGTCGGTGGGTCGGTGGGCCGTCTTTTAGGTCAATAGGTCAGCACGCTGTATGGGGGTTTGCTGACATTTATGCACACACACACACACACACACACACAACGCACGTGCTACTTCCCGCTGGAGCGGAATCGTCCGGCGCATGTACTGGGGCTAAATTACCGACGCCTCACGCGCAGTGGCGACTAGTTCAAATCGAAAGTGCTCTCAAACCGTAACTTCAGGATATACCTGTGCTGCTATCCCCCACTCCCGTTGCCGTACACGCTGCCGCCGGCTGTGTGTAGACTTCCGTACAGGCGGCCCTGCCGATGTCGCCCAACCGCAGCACGGCCGCGCGCGCTGCCGTGGCACGGGCCGTGGCCGGGTACGGCGGTGGGTACGGCACATTACTGCCTAGTGGTACGGCAGGGGATGTTCTCGACGAGGACGAGACCGTGGAGGTGAGGGAAAGATGCCCCTCGCCCTTGAATCCAGCCAGATTAAAATACATTAATACAGATCTGATGACAGTAATAATACATAATGATAGCGATGATGGCATGGCGACAGATGAGATGATGGTGTGTTAATGCTTGTTAAGGCTCCGATCTTGATCTCACATGAAAAGGAATGGGACTCCACGGGGGATGTAATGGACCTGAAAGAGTTATCGGTGCAGGACCGCTTAACCACATACACACGGTGTATAGGTCGACGTGATAGTTGATATTTTTTAGGAGTTTGATTTGTTTCATTACACTTTGTGTGTGTTTTACCCCTATTTTACCATTTGATTATCAGTGGCGGATGTTATTGTTCGTGTGGAGGCCCTCGGGGCGCATCCCACATGTATTGTCCTGTACTGATGACTTTACACGGCGGGGACTAGCCACCTGGTCTCGATAAGTTCGTTGGATTTGCCGTTTTCGGTTCGTAAGAACGATGGGAGAAGTACTCCGGATATGGAATGGCTGGTGACCTAAGCCGAATTTGATGATGATGCCGACTCGTTTGCCAAACAAAAGTGCTGTCGTACATCTGCAGGACATTCTGGACGAGTGCATCTCCAAGGGAGCCTGTACCTGAGGGACGGAGAGACACACAGACAGACAGACAGGCAGACCGACTGACCGACTGACTGGCTGACAGACAGACAGACTGACTGACTGACTGAATGACTGATTGAATGGCAAATAGTCAAAAGCTTGCAGGTGGTATGGCTGGTAGGACATGAACTGGGAGCTGCGGAGCATGGAACAAAAACGAAAAAGTGCGTGCCCGTGCTACCCCGGCAAGGCACTACGAACATGTCAAGCTTGTCGCATCCGGTAGCATCATCTCGCCGTATGCCATCACATAACGCACGCCGTACGACACGTGTGCAGCGAGCCGTACATGCCAACATGAGTATAATTAGGCAGCGGCATCCAGAGCAATTTGCGCGTGTCCTTGGGACAGGTTAGGCGGTTGTACGGAACAGAGCAGGTGTCGTACCAAAGGGTCGTACATGTGTAGTGTGGGATCCATCCACGTGAGCCTAGGGAGCTATCTCTATGGGTTCAAAGACGCCGAAAGATGACTCTCCGCGGAGCCCGATCTTGGTCCGATCCGGTACTTGTTTTGTTTATCCAAGGTAGCGTGCGTTCATCGTTCCACTTAGCGCCGGCGCTTTAAATGTTTATAGCCGGATTTATAGCCGTGCTTTTCATACTTTGGTTAATTGGTTGAAACAAGGTTTGTTACTTGGTTGGAATGTTGTGTAGATCGCAAAACTTTGCTTTGTTCCAGGCGTTGTTTTTTGCAACAAAGCAACACGAAATAACTGGTTTCCTTTCTTTCCCCGCCTGTTCGGTCTCTCAATCGCATCCCGTCCTCAATCGACATCACCTGACAAAACGTTTTGTGCGAGAACTTACTTATGTGCGAGAAGATTTGCGGTTACAGGTGCGTCGAAGAAAAGATGCGGGCGCCCATGGCAGCCGAGTCCTCTCTTGTGGCATCAGAACCTGTCAAGAGAACCTCTTTAAGAGGGCGGCAGCCGTGCCGCGCTGTTGCGGCGCAACGAACTCCTCATTTGCCACCCAGAAACGCTCCTCTTCCCTTCCCCAACTGTTCTGGCCTGGGTTGGACTTCATTCACTGTCCACTGTCAACGTTCAGTTCATCACCACCTGTATCCCCGGAGAGAGGGAGAGATTGTACGTGTATGTGTGTATGTGTGTGTATATCGTACACCTTGTTCAGTTTTCCCGTTACCCACCAAAGGTGTAACCTGGGGGGGGGGCCCACACAGTGGGGAGCTCGGATGAAGGCGCCTTGAGGGGCCCTGGGGGGACCGAACGCTGTATGTCCGTAATAGCTAGATAAGAGGGCTATCCCGCCCGCCCGCCCTGGGAACGGATCGCCGGAAGGTGAACACTGCATACAGCCCCCGGCAAGTCAAAACCCAAGCAGCAGCTCCCGGACGGTATCGGTAACCGTATCCGTGTCGTGCTGTACATGAGGCGCAAAGGGATTCCAGTCGTTCCAGACTTGCGAGTGCATTGAGGCGCACTGGGCAGCACTGCGGACTGCTGGCGCACCTGACAAATCGACGCAACATCACGGCACCTCAGAAGCCCTTCCTCGCCTACTGATCAGTATCAACAGAGTCCCATGACCCCCAGCAAATCCGCAACAAATGAATGGCGTGGGCTGCCACAGCGCAGTAAGGCCTTAGTAAGGACTAGAAAGCAGAGATAAGAGGAGACTTTATTTTAGGCTTTGTTCCCTGCAGACAACTGCACATGAGCCACTCTCCCACGCTTCTTGATGCGTGCGCCGTGACTCTTGCCGTACGCCCCTGCAGTACTGTCGTATATTACCGCTCTGCTTATATCAATAATAATTTGTCAAGTTCCCCACACCCATAGGCCCAGGCATTCCTACACCCGCACGCTTTTGCTAGGCATCATAAGTCATCCTTGCATGATGACGCCAAGCAAGTAATGCAGCAGAGAGGTTTTCAAATGAAGGAACGCAAACGGAGACCGAGAATTCCGCCAGAAAGAGTGCACACCCCTGCCCAAGCACTTTTTTCCTGGTAGACAGCTAACTGCAGTATTTGTGAAACAATAACCGTATGTAATAATTGTAGCCGTAATGATCCTGCACTTCCTGGCTCCGTTGCCGACGATAAATGCATCGCAGCGGCTTGGAAACACAACGCCTTCCAAAAAGAATATCCACAACAACGAGCCATACATTACTTGCAAAAGATATTGTGATGAGCAGACCGAGACCGCGCGCACCCAGACATCATCGGCACCATCATCCACTTCACGGCGCCCTATGCCCCGTGTGGCTAAGAGAAACCACGTGGCAGTGTGGAGAGTGTCAACACCTGCCCAACCTGTCCACGATAAGTAATGCCGTACACGTAGTACATCACGTATGTCTATGGGCAGCTGGTCGTCGTCGTCGTCGTCGTCGCATGTCTTCATAGATTTGCTGGTAACATTTCGCCATGAGAAGCGGCCACCGCGACGAAAACACAACACTGCCCAGGGTGTTGCCGTGCAACCGCAAGGCGTGGTAATCGTCATCATCTTCCCTGTCGGCGTCGTATACACCAGAACGCGGCAGCCGCAAGGTGCGACGCCACCAAGCGCTGCGACGGCGGCGCCGGAGGCGGCGGCGCGCCGCAAGCATCCTTAAAACGTCGTCTTCAGCTTGCCTGTCGTACTCGACCGCCGTGGTCGCCGCCGCAGCTGCTTCCGCCGCCTCCTTCTCCGCAATCTCCGCGGCCAGCGGACCGGGCAGGCACCACCTTTATACGGCACAGCAATCACAACGAAGGCCGACAAATCAGCTGCGTTAAAAACCACATTAAAAAATCACATTAAAAAATAGTCAGCAGAAGAAGTAAAACAGCAGCTCAACGAAAATTCGCAAACCCTCCTCACCCCCACGCCGGGGCCCCTCCCGCCCTAACACCCACACCCACACCCACACCCGTGTCCTACCCCGCGGCTCCAAGTAGACAGTAATCCGCGGGGGTGTAGAACACCTGCCCCCGCACCGCATACTGGTGCGGCGCCAGGTAGACCCACTGAGCCCCGCGCAGACTGGGAGCCAGGTCGCCACACGGCACATCGATACGCGGCGCGGGGCTGGGGTGCCGCCGCCGGCGGAGGCCGCCACCGCCGCCGCCGCCGCTACCGTCCGTCTTAGTACGGCAGATGTCACTACCACCAGGTTCCTCTGATCGACCTTGCCTACTTGTCGTCGTCACCGTCGATGTTGTTGTTGACACTGGGGTGGAGCAGTTGGCGGTTACCGTCGTGGTGGTTGTAGTTGTGGTTGAGGTGGGTGCGGGTTGCGGTTGTTGGTTGTGCAGGGGCTGTTGGAGCACGGGGAAGCTTGGGGAGGACGACGGGAAGGTTGAGGGGGAGGCGGCGGCCGCGGCGGCGGCGGGGTCCCCTGGTGAGCTGCCCCTGGTGGCTGGGGGCCCGGGCAGGGGCGCTAGGACGTCCAAGAACGGGTGCTGGTGACTGGCCAGAGGGGAGGTGGGGTCGGTCAGGTCGGCCAGCTGCAGCAGTCTCCGGGTCATGAACCTGCAGGGGACCGTGTCACGCCACGTCACGCCATGTACGGCGGAAGGTATGTGTTAGCTCGGGTTACAGCCTCCGCCGCCACCGGTGGTGGTGGTAAAATGGTGGTGGAGATGGTGGGTGTGCGTGCGGGTGGTGGAGGTGGTGGTGGAGAAATGTCAGATGTGTGGATTGGGCAAGGGGGAGAGATTTGTACGGAGAGAAACAAACCCAACCACCCTTTCCCCCTCCAGCTCCCCCGACGGCAAGGCCTTCGACGGTGGGAGAAAGACGTAGGAAGAAAGGTAAAAGTAGTTCGGGGAAACGCCACCGGGGGGGGGGTAGATGATGGGTGTGCGTATTTTTCTTCACAAGCACCTATCCCACCACCCACATAGCTCAACCTCCCCTCACCACATACACACATACACTATTCGAGAGGTATCCGAATGAAATCCCCCCTCCCCCACCCACCCCACACACCTGACCGCCGCCTCCAGCTCCCCATCACTGAAAGTCCTCGGAGCGCCACCACCACCGCCACCACCACCAGCCGCCCCAGCCTCGGCTAACGTACTGCTCTTAAAGCACGACCCCAGCAGCCCCCCGCCTCCTCCTCCTCCTCCACCAACACCGTTCGCGGAGGTGCTACCCAGCACATGGGCTGCATCCTGCTGGTTCAGCTGCTGGTGCTGGTGCTGAATTGACGATTTGGTTTGTGAGCTGCCCACGGGCTCCTCCTCCTTCGCCTTCATCTCCACAGGCGCAGTCGTTGCCGTGACACCCTCCTTCCTGCCCTTCTCCCCCCCTTCCTTTCCCTCCCCCTTTCCCTCCGCGCCTCCGCTGCCTCCCAGTCCCAGCCCCAGCCGGTCCGCCAGGCTCCACAACCCAAACATGGCGAAGGTACCGTTACGACACAAGTGGTCGGGACTGCCCATTGCCGGCGGGGGGGACTTGAAGCCGGGGTCCCATGCGGGCGAGTCGGGGTCACCCGAGAACACGCCGCTACGGCAGCTGCTGCTGCTGCTTCTAACCTTGCTTCGGTTGCTGGTATCGCTGCCGCCGCCGCCCTCGCCGCCGCCGTTGCTGCTGCTGCTGTCCTTGTTCTTGCTCTTAGCCCTGAATATCTTCAAGACAGAAAAAGGGAGGGGCGATGCAGGATGGTCCACCTGTGGGGCCTCAAGGTGGGGGGGGCGAGGTTGTAGCATACCGCCGGCGCGCAGCTCCGCTGCGAGCTTGCGTGGCGGCGGGAGCTCAGCGACCCGTGGGTCGCTCAGTGCCGCCGCCAGCGGCCATAGGTGCGCCACCAGCGGCTGGGCCATAAACGTGGGCAGTTTTCTTGTAGGGGAGGGGTTCACCATAAGGCCCGTCAGACTCTGCGAACGGGGACCGTGTGTGCACACATACGGGTCGGTTTTGATCGAAATTGAGAAATTAATGAAGAGGCATTTCGTGGGCAGCAGTGGGTGATACGATACATACAACACTTGTGCACCATGTTCACATCCCACCACCATCACATCACCAACGTCTCCCTGGTATTGCCCCATTAGAACGCATCCCACATGTAGACTTCGGCCGTGTGGAGTCACACGCGGATTACTCCGGTGGTTGAGGGTCATTGAAGGGCGGGAGGGGGACCCCTGGCTTGGGGGAGAGAGTTGGTTCGGAATGAAGAACTGCGGAACGTGGGGAACACGTTGACACGTAAGGGCCCCCAGCCGCAATACCCCCCAGACCAAACCTGTCAGACCCCACAACCTCCGATTATAACGAAGTCCAGGTCACCACTTTTCATATCCCCCTTCCTTCCCTACCCCACCCCCCTCCCCACGGGTCCAAACCCAGTCCGTCCCTCCCCTCCCCACACATACTGGTCCACGGCGCTGTCGCCTCGGTACTAAGTTTTATCCTCCAGATCACCACCATAATCGCCATATCCCCCTCGTCGCGGTACTCAAGAGAGCATTAGTAACATGCACATACACGCACACGCCCATACACAAAAACACGCTGCACAACGCACCTCGTAGCGCTCCAAAGTGAACTTGAAGGAGTCAACTAAAACCGTCCCGTCCAGAGTATCGTCGTGACGCAGCGGCCGGCGACCGTACGGCATGATCACCTCGCAGTCCGCCACGTAGGATCCGCTCAGCGCCATGTGAGAATGCCACATCAGATCTTGGTCGTACATTGGATTTAGGGGCGATGCGCCGGGGCTCTGGGTACGGGCCAGCGCCAGGAAGCGAAAGTAACGGATCCGACCAGCCTCCAGAAAGTCGGGATCTTGGTAGAAGTAGCGCAGCGTCTGCAGAGCAGTGTGGTGGTGGTGGTAGTGGTGGCAGATCGGGAAGAGTGGAAAGAACGGGAGAGGGGATAAAATGTGAGGGTGAGGGTGAGGGTGAGAGTGAGGGTGACGGCTGCAGTGACAAAGGAAGAGGCTGGGTGACGGCGATTGTGGCCACGTTGCTTTCTTGAACAGGCCGCGGCAGGGAGGGGCGCAGAAGGGGGTGAAGGGGGGTGTCGAGTCTCGAGCGGCCCTTAGTGCCTTACAGTGCCCTACTGCGGATAACAGACGAGGGACCACCGGCAGGGGACGGGGAGGGCGCCGGCTGGGCGCTTCAAAGAGTAAACGGGCTGACAGTCAGTAACTGACTCAACCGCCATCATGGCGGTGAAACTTCATGTAGAGCTGCAAACAAGCAGCAGCGGTGGCAGCTGCAGCAGCAGTAGCCGCAACAACAACTTTTTCCTGCATTGCGCATTCCGTTCCAAAAACCAGCTCTGAAACCAGCCCCAGATCCAACTCCTTCGGCTACATTAAAATCGACATCGCTATCACCTGATGTAGGAACCTGCCCTGTCGAAGCATAGACTCCACCACATAGCCCCGCACAGACGCAAAGCTGCCTGCAGCAGCAGCAGCAGCCGCTGCCGCTGGCGCGCCACCGTCACCGCCGCCACTGCCGTTTCCGTAGCAGCCTTTTGCTGCCAAATCTGCTGACCGTAGCTTCGGATGCAAATGAACGTGATGGCAGGACTGTGGATGTGGGCAAAGATGCGGCTTGGGGCACCCTTGCTGCTTCGCGTGCACTCTGGAGCAGTAGACTGTTGCTGGGGCCGGCGCTGGAGGCCAAAACACATGTTCGGGCGGCTGCCCGGGACCCGTGGGGTAATCGGCTTCCCACACCTGCCGGGGTCGATTGCCGTACCACAGAGGACTCAGATAAAATCCATTCGCCGCCGCCGCAAGCCAAGCCAAGACATAAAGAAAGTCATAAAGGAACACAAAACGAAAGATCGATATTTGTGCACACAGCTTTCAAACCGTAGCAGTAGCAGTACCAAACCTGGCGCAAGTACAACGACGGTAAAGCTAGTAGTAGTAGCAAACCTCTCACCAACAGAATCACCCCCATGCCACACCTGCCTAGTCAGCACAGATACTCCGCCGTGATACCCAGATGACGGGCTCTGCGGACCACCCGGCGGCGCTTGCGGGTTTGGCAGTGCCTGGCTGCTGTTAGTGTTGCTGCTAAACCCCAGAGCCTGTCGTACATTTGCTGGGTGAACTGGCGCTCCGAAGCGGGCGGTGCAGTCCGCCAGGTACTTGGTGGGATTAAGCCGGTGGACTAGCCAGGCCCACTGAAATGGAGGTGGAATTGATTGAAGGTGGTGTAGGTGTAGATGTAGGGTTCGGACGTGTGCGGGGAACCAGCGGATGCGGGATTGGCGATAGGATGTGGATGAAGGAAATAGGTTAGATTAGATCAGGTAAGGCAGGAAGATGTCCAAGGGCGCCAAAAGGCACCAACAGCCCGGCCAGGCAGTGGGGCCGAGAACGCGAGCTCCACAGCATGACAAGGATGGAATGCGTCACAGGTGTACACAGCGGCTACTTGAGCGCGCCTGCTTTGGCTTCGATAAAAAGGACTTGGTCCAACGTGGTGCTGAGTTGTCACGTGGGCGTGCGGGGTCCGGATGCGGTCACGCCTGCTTCCTCTGCGGGTCCCGGTACACACACCTGTACGTCTAGAGGAGGGACTAGCCCTTCGGCAGAACGCGCCGACAGGTTTTGTTGCTTGTGCAACATGGGCATCCACAGCAACCAGTAGCGACGAATGGCTTGTTCGGCATAATGACCCTTGGAGAGTCCGCCTGCCAAAACAGCGCATTCGAGCAAGTTGCGTCCGCGGACGTTTGCACTGTTCGTAAGCGTCCCCCGAGTGATTTTATACGTACCGAGCGGAAACAGGTCAACTGCCATAAGTAAGCGCTGCAACATTACTGCGCAGGTCGACAAGTCGGTGGTGACCTGAGCTTTGACTTTTTGAAACGCATCGTCAAAAGGTTCCAAACGGTAGCTTTCATTTTGGCCATCTGTGGCCATCATGCAAGAGCTGAGCCTAAGTGCCTCGACAAGGGCTACCGTTCAGGGGCGAATGAGGTAGACAAGAGAATAGCTGGATTATAAAATCAAAATTGTAAAACTTCCAATAGGTTTTCTCACGTAAAGCATAACCATCAGCTTGGAGCAGTAGTACGGCGACTAACTACCGCCGAGACTAGCTCGCAGTCCTTTCGAACTACATCGTCGATCGAGCTGATTCTATGAATGACGCCATGCCAACAATGATTAGGAGTATGAACGATATGAAATCAATGGACCGACCGAGAGACTTGGCCTGGGAATGCAATGAAAATACCACAGGTACTTGCTTACAAACGCTTTTGCAGTTATGCATTTGCAATCCTTTAGGGCAGGTGATACGCTAGGGACGCGAGGAGCTCACTGCTCGCGCTGCTCGTTCCCTACAACAGAACGGATGGATTGAATTCAAGGCTCTGGCTTTTAATTTTCCCCCTGTTCCCGAAAATGTGCACAATGTTTTCAGGACGCCTTGGGAAGGGTGAAGTTGTCTTTGGAAGAACGCTTCATCCAGATCCGTTTGGCGTAACCGACAAACTATCTTGAAAACTGCTTAGGCAAAGAACAAGGTTGGCGTGGTATATACTTGATAAGGGAAATGCCTTTTCGCCTCAAACCCCACTGACACTTGCGGAATCTCGCGCACGTGTCAACACGGCATCACCGGGCCAGCCTGCCTACCTTTTCAAAAACATCGGATGATCACGGATACATTGCAGTGCCTGCAGGTGAGGGCCCTGCCTTCCAGTACCTAATCAGCAACATCCAGCCAGCAACCGTCAGCGAAACGGCTGGGAGGCTTTGCGCTACATTAGGCCATACGCTCGAACGGGTCGTTTTACAATTTCGTGCTCAATATTACAGCCGCTGCGGGAACTGGAACCCCAATCATGATGAGCATAGGTTTAACCGATTTGCAATACCAGGATTTGCACTATTGTAAAATTTGCCGAGAACATAACATGAATAAGTCCCCCAGCCAGCCCATCTGGTGCTAAAAACGCAACGTCGCGGCAACCGCTGCACCGCAGGAGTTCCTTACAATCAAACGACGCCAGGATGCGTTGTACTATCCGGCCTAATTGATCCTCTCATGTAGAACACAACACAAAGAACCCGCTGCCCCTCCTCAGCACAAACGTTCTACCAGCTGGGGCTCCTCACTCCTTGAGTGGGTCCACTTGCGACTCCCATCAGGAAGATTAATTGTGTAAATTTCTGCGAGGGTTCGCCAAGCGCCGGAGCCCGGACTGCGCCACCAAGTGGTTTCCACCACACGAGGCTTCAGTTGCCACATCAGGCAACATAGATCGCCAAATCCGTCACCGTATGCCATTACCCTCACCGACTACAGAGAACACAGCCCAACGCGCATGATGCGGTTCCAGAATGATGCATGTGTTACCTTATTAGCGGTGTCGACCGGTGCTGACGACGTGCAACACCGTGGGCTCATGCCCACCTGCCAACCGGCAATGACCTTGTTTGGTAGGACCGTGTGTTACGAAGATGTAGACAGGGCCACAGGCCCAAAAAATGCCATGACGGCATGGCAACAGCAGCATGCTTCATCTTCTCCTGCTTCATCGTCACCTTTCGCGCCGGCACATGTGGTAACGATGCGACAATTTGCAGTAAGGCAACTCCTCTCCTTGCTCAAGAGCCGTGAGCCCCGTCCGTGCATAAACCACAAAAAGGGGTAACTGTGAAAACATTTAAACGCTAAGTCTCATGGCGCGCTTGTGCGTAAGCCAAAGACTATTTAAAATGGAACGAAAAGAGCCTAGAAAGAGAGGGCGGGGTTGGGCCGCAGAGGACCAGCACGAGCTGCCGTCACTGTCGCGGCCGAGGACCCCGTGCTATGTTGGTAGAGATCGTCGTTCGATGTACGAGACCCGCACATACATACATACATACATATATACATACATACAGATTGTTGCGTGTTGAGTTGGCGCTGCAACCGACCCCACCGCAGGAAGGGGTCTGCATGAATCCATACCAGGATGTATACGTACTAGGACAGCCGCCGGCCGCCACGGCATGCGTGCGCACGAAACCGCACATGTTCATCCTCTGCGGAAAACGCATAAAACGACGAAACCCAGGAAACCGAAACCGAAACCACGTGCACAGTGACGCATTTGCAAATCCAAAAAGCGGCAACCAACTAACCAGCCAGCTTTTAGAATCAGGGGCCATCAATAAGGAATGCCAATCAAAGGCACCAAAGCATGCAGCAGGAGAATCAGAAGCCGTTCCTGCCACCTAAATTAGCAGCCCAAGTGCATACCGACACAGCTCGATACGGCTAACAGGTTTGGCAAACAGAATTACTCTCCTAAAAAGACCACAATACAGGTCAGCAATGCCGTACAACAGGTTTTTCCCTTACATACAGTGCCAGTTCGTCCAGTACCCGCACACAAATTAAATGCGATGGTGTCGACTTGGTACATTTTTATCATGACAGAAATGTGCGGTGAAAGTGCTATACCCCAGAAGCCCCTTGTTGAGGTCATTCCCATGCCCACCTCACTACTACTGTCATCCGCTTAAATGCCTGAAACTGAAAACCTACCTGTTAACATCTAAAAGCCTCTCGGCCGTGGTCGCAACTTGACTGAAGTTTTCTCCTGTTGCGTCGAACCCAACCCACCAGTCAATCCATGCCTTCCTTAAGCCCGACGCATGCCACACATATGCATGTCCACAGCATACACGCCTTCCAATCCCACGTGCATCCTCCCGATCGATCATTCCCACGGATGTCACTCAGCTTGCATTCGTAACCTGCCGTGAACAGCCTGCGCCCCGCGCATTCCCCAACCAAGCGCGCACGTACGCGCACCGGCGAGTGGGTTACCCTGGAATAAACAAGCATGTTTTTTTGGCTCATTCTCCCTCAGCACAGTACTTAGTGACACCGCATGGCTGTCCCCTCCTAAAACTTGCCCTTCTGTTCCAGCCACGCATGGGACAACAGCAGGTCCAAAAAGCTGACCACCTCCAGCACCGTCCCAGCCAGGATGTCCCGCCGGCGCCGGCCCTTGCTCGCATGCAACTTGGCCTCCACGTCATCCGCATACGCCGCCACCACCAGCCGCCCCGGCCGCCTCAGCCGCATCACCTTCTCCGCATCCTTCAAAACAACCGCCTCGGATCCCGCCGCTGAGCTCTCCACCTCGCGACCCAACGGCTGCAGAACCGAAAACTGCGGCAGGCGCCTGCCATCCGCTGCGCTGCCGGCAGCGGCGGCCACAACGCCGCATGGCGCATGAGGGCCAAATGAGCCTCGACGGGTAGACGTCAGCGCGTCGGGATCCAGCGCACGGCTGAGGACCACCCGATGCTCTTGTGACCCGTGGGTCTGTACCCGAATAATGTGGGCCTCGCGCATCTGCAGCAGCCACGGCTGGCCCCAGACGCGGGAGCCAGCCAGCAGGCAGCCGGTCAGCTGCCGGAGCAACTTGGGCGGAGTCCCCAGGAAACCCTGCCGCAGAAGGGGGATGCAGGTAATGGAAGTGCAGGTCAGGTCAGACAACGGGACTAGGGACGGGACAAGGACGGGTTTGGACCGCACCGGATGGTGATGGGCAAGCTGGGAAGCGCGCTGACGTGGGGAATAGGAACAGACGAGACGAAACGAGACGGGAGTACACACATACAGACGGGCTTCCTAGAGCCATGCGGTAACTAGTTTAGAGTCTAGAGATAGGCTACGTATTACCACACCAAGCAGAGTCTACACACACAGGTCCCTATCACACGCACCAAAAGCCAGGTGTGCACACCACCACCCCGGGTGGCCGCACCTGGGCGTCCATTACCACCACCACTCGGGTCGGGTATAGCGGCTGGCAGTCGCCCACCGGGGTACTGCCGTCCACTTGGGCTAGGCTCAGCACGTCCTCCAAGATCGGGCTGGGGCTGGGGCTGGGTGTGGGGCTGTAGCGCGAGGCTGGGATCCCGTGGGATGACGTCAGCGGCTCTGAGGGCACCTCGACCTTAAGTTTCACCAACGGTTTTGCATCTGGAAGCCCTCGTGCCGTTGCCATGCAGCGCCGCCTCGCGTCGCGGGCAAGCAGCCGCAAACCCTTAACCAGCGCCTCAGCCCTGCGTGATGTAATGATATGGCGTGGCAGCATGCAGCATGAGGAGCATAGACGAGGGAGGATTATTCACCAAGTGGCCAGGCCATCCCAGGTGGCGATTGATACGAGGGGGGATGTAGTTTCGTGAACGGGTCACGGCTGACGGCGATGCCGCGATGATGGCTAGAATCCCCTAGTACAAAAGGTGCGGCCGTGGACACATGGCATGGACATGGCGTGGGAGTGGGAGTGGGAATAGGAGTGGCGCTTGGGCAAGGCGGAAAGGGGGCAGTTGTGGCAATATATATAGGGGACGATCGAGGAAGGGGACGAAGGTGGGTGCCCACGGGTTTCAAAACTGCGCTATCTCAGGAGATATCACACGTCCATGTAGTCATGGTATTGATAGAGGAGAAAGCAGTAAGATGGCACGGCGTTCAACGGACGACTTGAGGTTCTTCTTGCGCTAGTTGTGGCACAGGCACAATACGTTTAAGTGGCAGGGAAGTACTGCATGATCACAGGAATGTTTGGATTCAGGTAGGACGCAAGCAGACGCACGGGGACCCGAAGCAAAGGCGGGCCCCCACCGTCAAGGACTCGCACCAAAAAGGGAACCCGTAGGGCAGGGGTGCTGCACACCGCCCCTGCAGAGGCAGGGGTGCTGCAAACCGCCCCTGCAGAGGCAGGGGTGCTGCACACCGCCCCTGCAGAGGCAGGGGTGCTGCACACCGCATCTCCGCCGCTCACGCCGGACTCTGTTGCCCATCTGACACGGCTCAGCCCAACAACACCGCCGGATTCTCACCAGACCAGCCCGCCGTACCTGTACAGCAAAATCGGGTGTACGGCAATTGCCTTGAGGATGAGGCCGTTCACGGTTGCTGCTGGACATGACATTGCGTGCACCACCGAGTCGCTTAGGGCCAGAACCTGCGGGGCGATGGACATGGATGATGAGCGTGAGGCTTGCGGGATTTGCGGAAGTGAGAAAGCACCGCAGGGCTCCCTCCGGCGGGGTGGAGATCATGTGTGATGCGAGAAGCAGAGGGGTCAACTGCAGACGCCCAGAGCGCAAACCGCTGGATGGTTAGGGGGTCGTTCCGATGTGACCATTGATGTGACCATGGTTTTTTTTACATCGACCAAGGACAAAGTGGAGGATACGGCTCGTAGCTTAAAACCCCCCAAAAAACGACACCCGAACATGGCCGAGGAGGTCGCCTAGCGCCTTATACGTCGCCTTTTTTGTCGCAACGCAGAGCCAATAACAAGGCCTCTGCGCTGCTTCCCCCTTTCCGACAACCCGCACCGTACCTGGACACCGCTCAGGTCCTCCGGGGCGATATCCGTGCTCCAAGCCGACCAGCCGAAGCCAAGCTCCTTCGCCGAAGCGTCCAGCGCTGCGGCCAGCTCCGGCTCCTCATCACCGCTCGCCATCAGCCGAACCTGGCAGCCGCGTAGTGGCATGCGTGGGAGAGCCTGTGCGGGGGCGGCAAGAGAACAGGAATGGTTACGAATTTGGACTGGGGACCCAGCCGTTGGCGACGGGCCCGTGGGAGCAGCAGCGCAGAGGGGAGGCTGACAGCAAGGTACTAGCTTCAAACCCTACACAGTACGCCGTCGTCGCTTTCGGGACAAGGTTGGGGACGTGGCGTTGTGAGGTCTTAATTTGGTGGGAGGAGGAGGCAACCATGCGCAGAAAGAAACGTCGAGATCATTTGCAGACGTCCACCTCGCAGCAGCAGGAGGATAAAGGGTGGAGGAAGCACAAGAAATAGCTGCGTGCAATCGAGGTAACGCGAAGAAGTAATGCAGGTCAACAAGCTAGGGCTCACAATAGCTCTGAAAGGAAGATTTGGAGACAACGGTGGGTTACGCAAAGCTGAGTAAAAAGCAAGATGTGCAAGGTGTTGGCACCGTACGCGGAAGCGGAAGCTGAACTATACGTACGCGAAATAGGATGGCTTACGTGGAGATTTGACATGAGGAACGGCAGCTGCCTTCGAAGCGCGGGATTCAGCACACCCGACTTCAGCACCGCCGCCTGCAGGACGGGTGCGGATGCCTTGGACCAACTCCAACTGCATTCCTCTTGGCCGACCGAAGCTGAATCGGCTTGCTGGGAGGTCGTCATCGTCATCGTCGGCTGCGGCATTGGCGGCTTTAATACTGTGCCTGGAAAACGCGTCGCAATCCGCTCATGTTGTTGTTGGTGGTGGTGGTGGTGGTGCTGCTGCTCTTTTTGTTGCTGCACCTGCTGCTGCTGTTCTTGTTCCTTGTGTTGTTGCTGCCGCGGCAGCATCTTCGAGACTTCCAGAGGCGGTAGCACCTCAAGGGCATGCGCGGGTTTGCCCACGAGGTCATGCCAGGTACCAAGCTCCACGTCCGAACTCATCAGCGACATGTCCCCAGGCAGGACACCTGGCTCAACCAAATCCAAATCCATGTCTTCACAACCCTCGGCCTCAGCTTCACAAGGCGCTCCGCCCGCCGCCTCCAAACTGCCCTGCGGAAACAACAGCGTCTTGGGCACCAATGATCGCCATTGCACAGCAAACTGCTGCTGTTGCTGCGGCGACCGCGAACCCGACATCTTGTCCAAGCCGCCAAGGCTGTCCAGCGGCACAGGTGCCGCTCCTGCTCCCGCCGCTACCTCTGTGGGTCGCTTCTGCAGCAAACTGACCAGTACCGCTGTAGCGCCAGCGCTGTCCTCACTCCCTTTACTGCTTCTTATATGTTTGCCGTTGCCGTTCCTGTTGTCTGGCTCCTCCCCTGTATCGATGAATGCAACGGCGGCTTCAGGCTCCCGACAGCTGACACCGTCCGTGCTGCCGTGGGTCGGTGAACACAGCTCCATAGGCACATCATCCTCATCCTGCTCATGCCGACGCTCTCGCACGGCTTCCTCAGCCTCGTCCATTATCCCCACCTGCCGGCCTGGGCCATCATACCCCGGCTGCAGCGGCTGGTGGTGGTGGTGGTGGTGGTGCAGTTCCAGCCGCGGCATACACGCTTGCGATCGTAGCTGCCGCTGCGCCTGAGACTGCAGGTGTTGTGCGTTGCCCTCCATCAGCGCCGCACACACTACCTCCTCGACGGGATTGTTGCTACCAGCCATTGGAAGCAACTCCCTGGCCTCATCCTCTCCCTCACCCAGCCCTCGCACGCCAGCGGCGGCGGCGGCGGCGGCGGCGGCCCCCCAGATTCCAACAGGCGGCAACTGCTCGTTGATGACGCAACCCATTGGGTCACCAGTTGTGGACCCACACGTCGGCAGCAGGTTGTTGTTGATGTTGTTGTTGGCGACTCCTGCGTCGTCATCGCCGTTGGCAACCGCGAGCGTATGGCGGTGAGGGTTCCGCAGATGCCGCGGATGCAGGGGCTGCAGGTGCGGCGGGAGGCGGTGGGGCTGAGTCCCCATCTCCGAAACCTCGGGCCGCCGCGTGCTCGCTTCAACAGCCCCGGAAGAGGGGCTCACACGGGCGTGATGCTCCGCTACGGGACCAACCGCCTCAATGGACCAAGTGAACTGCGTGAAGAAGCTGCTCTCCACCGTAAAGCCACCCTCGCCCGCTGCGTAAGGCCCGTCAACGACCTGCGCTTCCTCGCCGCCGCCGGCAGAAGCCGGTAGCGATGTGGCTGCTGCTACTGCTGCTTCAATGGCCGCCGTCGATGGCCCTAACGCCGCTAGCCCCACCGGTAATAGATCCTGCGGTGCCGTGGAGGGCTCCGACTCCGTTATCCCTGCTGGTGATGGAGCTTGCGGTGCCTTCGCCGCCGGCGCTGGGGCTGCCGTCGCACCTGGCGGAGCCGCCGCCGCTGCGGCAACGGTAGGCAGAGTTGCACCGGAGGCCATAGCTGCCAGTCCCGATCCGGACTCCGCCGCCTCTCGGGCTTTAGGTTCTGTTGCTGTTGCCGTTGCCCCGGGGATCGTCCCTGAAGTCCCAGCGGCCGCCGGCTTATGTCCTCTCCGCGGCAATGACACCCTTGAAACAGCTGGTGCCGGCGGGAGCATTGCCGTTACGAAGGACCCTCCGGGCGGCCCCATGGATGCGGCTTGTGTGCCTGTCGTCGCGTTTGCTGCTGCCGCCGCCGCCGCCGCTCCCAGCGCACCGGCAGGAGGCGCGTGCCGCGACCTGCCCTCACATGGTATAATGTCGATTTCCTTACGGCGCCGGCCGTCGCCCGTCGCCGCTGCACCGCCCCCGTCAAAAGATACACCTTGTAACTTACATGAGGCAGGACCCGACTCCTCAATCTGCTCCAGCTTTATCTGGATCTGCTGCTTCTGCTGTCCGGCACCTTCAGGAGGTGCACCTGCTGCTGCTGCTTCTGTGTCAACGGTAGCACCGGCCTGAGGCAGAGCTGCGGCGGCAGCAGTCCGTGACGCTGCGCCTTGCTCGTGTACAGCCATGGCATCGGCACCGGTAGGCACCTCTTGGGACCCTGCGCCCACAGCCATATCCATATCCATCGCCTCAATGGAACTGGCTACGGGAACTGCCGCATCCGACTGTGCCTCCAGTTGTGCGCCGCTGCCACCGCCGCCGCCATTGCTGCCGTCGGACGCTCTTTGGCATAATCCGGTCGATCCGGCCAGATCGCCCGCAGGAGGACCTGTGCGTGCCGAGTTCGGCGCCCCCGACGCAGTTCCCCCGACCCCAAAGGGGACTTGGGTCCTGGCCGTAACGCCCCTAGCAGGAAACCGGGTATCTGTTAACGCAGCCAGATCTGCATTGCTTTGCGCTTCACCAGCATCCGCCGCATCAGCTCTTTCGTTTATGACGCCGTCGCTGCTTTTAATGCCCTTGACGCCGTCGGCAGCGTTGTTTCGGCTGGTGCTGGCCTGGCCTCCGCTGTACGCGCCCGCCGCCGGCCCCTCCAACGCCGTGGTGTGCTTCAGGGCGTAGCCTTCTTTCTCTCTCAGCAGACGCCCATGCTCGTGATCGTTGCCGTCCTTTATCTCAAAGTCTACCCGCTTCTTGGGTGTCGGGGCCTGTACTCAAAAGCGCGACGGGAAACATGGGCTAGTGCAAGAAACAAGAGCTAGTGCACATCAATGTGAACGTAAGGACATAACCCAACCCGCTTGAGCCGTCATCATATAGCTGCAGAGCCGTAGTGCTGACGTGCCTTTTCCGCGCGCGGCTGCCTCCACTTAGGTCCGCTCAGATGTTATGTACAAGACGTTTGTAACTTGTGCATGTGCACCACATACACACGCAAAGAGCTCCACTAGTGTGGCCGCACAGCACATGCCACACTGACTGACGACATGCAGAGATGCGGAAAGCTGCCGCGGACTGCACAGTACGGCAACCTCCGAAGGAAACAAAAGTCGCACCTTGTCCGAGGACCTTAGGATACCTTTGATGCCCCTTGCAGACGCCGGTGTCGGGTCCCAAATAGACATCACATGGACCTGCAGGCGTCGCGGGGTAATGTACGGCCACGAGGTACGGCAATAAGTACAGCGGCATTTTCCACCACTTGTGCCGAATTACTTTTGGGATAGAAGGAAGGGTCCAACAGCCCCGAGACAGAACCACAGGGCCAAATGTCTTCAACCTACAAAGGGTGTATGTGGCCAAGCTTTCCCCGTGCAAGCCAGGAGGCAGTGTGAAACCAACGGTTATTTCCCGCGGCCATGCACGTCTACCCTTCTGCATTTCCTTCCCGTCCCTCCGGTCCCCCCGGTGGGAAGGTCGCTATACGCAGAGAAGACGCACGTGCTTCCGGCTGCCCGTCAGGCAGAGCAGGCAGTCAATGACGCCGTTGTCAAAGTCAAACCCGTCGATAGGCACTTGGTGTGGCATGAAGTACAGCCGGAAGGGCCCGGCGGGGTCCGCGACGCGGCCTCCGCGATCGCTCGCCTGTGCGCTAAGCAGCCGCGCCAGGACAGGGTCCCGGGCCAGGTGCGCAGGCGTGAGGAAGGCCAGCTCCACGGCTAATAAACAACCTTCTGCCTTGAGCTTGCTGCATGCATACGAATGCAGAGCCATGAAAACCGCGTGTAAGCAGCAACAAGCGGATCGCGGGGGCCCCGGGAGAAAGAGGAAGGGCGGCGCTAACTTTGCGGCTGCCCGCCGCTGCCCGTGACACTGTGGCTGCCCCGGGGTAACGTAAACGTTCGGTGAGGGCCGTACGATTAAGAGAAAGGAAGGACAGTAGTTAACATGATGGATGCCCTCACCAAATGCAACGAGGCTGACACGCACAACAGCAGAAACAAGTACGCAGATAGGAGAGGGTAAATTCATCACTGGCTGCCAGACGTTCTATTTGAGCTCTTGCCTCAGTTTGAGGCCGCTCAAAGAAAGCAGAGTAGGAAAGGAGGCCCAGGCGGAGCAGCAGGGCAAAGCCCGAGCACGGCAACAGCAGGCGGGACAGTGGGGCTCGGGACACATGATTGCCCCTACCTCAACAACTTGGTGAACCAATCGTAGCCTTTGCCAATCGTCATTGTGGGTAGCATCACCAGGCAGGTCTCACAGGGCGCATAACTCTGATAGAACCTGCGTGGCGGGGTCAGCGCGGCGGCACCTGGGCTGCGATATAAAAGAACATGTTATGGACGATGTGACACAAGCTGCTCGATGCTAGCTGCGCTTCCCATAGCTAATCCTTAGCTCACAGTCCACAGACCCACGGCAGCGCACAGCGCACAGCGCGCGCTCGTTTCACGGGCCACAAGAAACAGTCAGACAACGCGCCAAACATACGCACAGCTGCCGCAACCAAAACTATCCGCAAAGGAAAGCGAAAATCACGTGCTTGGAGCCCTTAACCTACGTGCATGGTGCTGCTCTGCCAGCCATGTTAGCCTTTTCGCTAAACCAATTCAACTCCGGTAGGGAGTTGAGGCTACGGAACTAAGGCAACGGAGCCGAAGTTGAAAAGCGACCAATGGAATTTTGAACCTACCAAGGCACGTCTTGGCTACCTAGATATAGCTGCGTGTCACACTCACTCTCGCGTCTCAGTAATCGTAGGCGGCACCCCGCCCTGGCCGTCGCCCTGCATTATGCTCCACTTCAGGTCCCCTTCCGAGAAGACGGTAGAGCTAAGCAGGTTGCACAACCGCACCATGCTCTGGTGGGGAGTGATCGACTGCATGGTTAAGCCTAAAACCTGGTCCTTTTGGTCCTACGAAGCGGGGGGGTTGGTAGGAGCGGCGACAGTAGAAGCCGCGTGGGCATGTTGGCAACGGCAGTTGCAGCGGCCGCGGGAGCGGCGGCAGCAGCGGCAAGGGTGGCGGACGCGGCAGCAGAAGCAACAACAGAAGTGGTGGCGGCAGCGGCTGCAGGAGCAGCGGGAGGGGTTGCAGCCGCAGTGCCATAACCGCAGCTGCGGCACGAGAATTGAACATTTTTTACAAGAAGCAAATTGCCAACACCCCCAACCATGGAAACCATTTGTCCCTTTGCTCCCATTATCACCTACACCCCCAACCAAATACACTCACCTTGCTTACGCTCGCTAGCAGCTCGGGATCGACTTTGAGCGGCAGCATGCAAACCCACAATTCGACCCGTCGAGTATCCCGACGTTTGCCTCTTCCCAGCGGCCCCGTGCTCGTAGACACTCGACTCCCCAGACTTCCCACGCTGCCCATGTTATCCAGCATGCCCGAGGGAGTGCTCCCCGACGGCAGCACCGGTGCGGACGGCCCCGTGCCACCCATGCTGCCGGCGCCCTTGTTGCCGCCGAGCGCCTAAGCGGAGGCGGCGAAAGGATTGCCGTACGCGCAGGATTGCGTGAAGGGTCCAAATTTAAACATATGGGTCGTCTCCTGAATGTGTGTATGTGTGAGCTACACCTTGATTTGAGTACTCTCCGAAGGCATAACGGGCCCATACGAGCGAAGGCCCAAGGGCCATTCTATGTAAATGTGTCGTAAACCTCGCCATTCAATAAGGCATAAGTGGACTAAGGCATAAGTGGTGCGTGTAGGCGATCTGGCAGCCCTTGAGCCCTCGGATCGAATTGGGCGGAACGGTTTGCAGGTACGGGGTACGCATCTCACGACCATGTAACACACATGCACACATACATGGACTCGGACGCATGGCGTGCCTACGCAAAAAGCTCGAACAAATGAACACACATTGGACCTGAACCTGGAGCAGTAAAGCCAACGCATGCTTCCAGGCGCCGCACACGTAGCCAGGTTTACACGACTCTAACCCCATCAGGGGCTCGTCACGGCCACTGCAATCACAGATTAACTCTAAGACATCGAATAGGTGGACGAAATCGTGAACAATGGCCCACCTGGTTTCCCCGCGACAAAGCAACCCACCTGCTGGATGTCGAATGAAGCACCAAACGTGCGAGCTGCAGGCAGCACAGGGCGTACCGCGCGGGCCCCTGGAGCAGGCGGCACGCGGCTGCCAATGCCGCCAGCAACAGGGCCCATCAGCGCCCCGCGGTCCGGTCTGCTGCCCATCGACATCGGACGACCCTGCACACGGGCGCCCATGCCATTGGACGGGAGGCCCAACGGCAGCCGTCCAACCCCGCTTGCCGCTGGTACTCCTTGTCTCTGCTTCAGCGCGCCGCCGGCTGAGGCTTCCGTAGCGAGATACAGACCCGGCCTGATGCCGGCGCTGCTGACCACCCTACCGGCCGGAGCTGGGCCTCGCGAGCCGTGAGGGCCAGCAACTTTTTGCGGCGGCGAGCTTAGGTCATCAAAGGCAGATAAATCTGGGTCAAGCTGCTTATCCAAGCGCGGGGCTGCTGCGCCGCCGGCAGCCGCGGCAGCCGCTATCGCTGCTGGGTTCGCCACACTTTTTAAACTGCGCTGCGGCATGCCGGGCAGCGACCCATCGGTCATTTGCGTGTGTCGACCCACATCCCTCAGTTGCCCTTTATACCGCTCCGACAGACTGCCGGGTTTGCCTTGCGCAACGTGGTTGCGGGCTGGGGCTGGGGCTGCTGCTGAGGGTGGAGCTGCTTTGGCTGAAAATGGGCCCGACCCAAAAGCTGCGACTCGCTGATTGTGACTCTGGTGTTCCTGACTCTCCGAAGGCTGCTGTGTCATTGGGCGACCGGCAGAGGCCCGCGCCTGCACCTTGGCGGCCGAAGCCACACCCTGGACCTTTGCCCTCTTATGCGGCCGACTGTCGCTGTCACTGTTCTCGGCATCCAAGTAGCCATCCGCCTCTGCCGTGGCGCCAGCAAGCTTCCCCGCGACCGCCGCCGCTGATGCTCCTGCTGCTGCGCCTGCGCCCCCTTGGCTAACGGACCCAGTAGCGCTTGGCCCTCTGACCTGGGCCGAGCCTGTGGCTGTTGCGTTTCTAGGATGCGGCAGCGGGCTGCTGTCGACAAAGGCGAAGTCGAAATCCTGCAGCTGCGACTGCGGCTGTGGTTTCTGGTCTGCCACGCCAGCGGCGATTGCAGTTGCAGTCGCAGTCGCAGGCCTGGCTTGCTGCGGCTGTCCGGGGCCTGTATGTGGCACCAAGTACAACTGTCGAGGTCTAACCTGATCAGCATCGTGACCCAAAGAAAATCCGCCAGTGCGTGGGCTGATCTTGCCCGTCCCCGTCCCTGCATCCTCCCCCACACCTCCAGCAATTTCCTTCTGCGCCTCCGGCCGGGCAAAGACGCTTCCTGCAGATCCAAACACCTGGTCCCGTGCGGCGGCAGCGTCTGCAGGCCCAGTGTTGGCGGTTGCTGTGTATGTCTGGTGTAATGATGAAACTGCATGAGTTCCAGAGGCTGGCTCGTGGGCGCTGCGCTTGCTCCGCTGGGAGGTCGTCTTGTTGCCAGCGGCTGCAGCTGCTGTGCCCCTCTTCTTACCGGCAGACGCTGCAAACAAAACCGGTTTTTAAATCAAACATGACAGGAGATGAGAAAATGCGTTGTTCAGCATTCGGCGATGCGCCGCGCTGCACGGTTAATGCTCGACACAGGGCTGCGCTACCACAGCAACGCGCCGCTAGCCAGCAACGCATGGGGCAGCATCCGCGTCCGCTAACAAAACGCTCGTCGCTGCTTGCCGGCTTCGTCAAAGCTAGCAGATGCCCTTGGATACTGCTATCGGCCTTCGCATCAAACCCATCGCGCGATTTCCGGAGAAAACAGTTGCCCCCCATGTCTACCCAGAAAGCAAAGCGCCATAATATCCTATTCTTTGTCTTAATTGTCCGCTCCTCACCTTGTACAGTCGTAGAGGAACAAAGCGAGCACTCGACAGACCCATAAACAGAGAGATCCGTGGGTGGCTGGCTGGGCAACTTCACGTTATCCACGCAGTACAGATGCCGCCCACGGCAACACCTGCATGGTGAACAGTGTATTCATTACATACCAACCCCCCATTCCACTACATTCTAGACTTTTTCCGGCAGCTCAGACATATCCTGAAGTATAGATGCGTTAGGCATGGCAGATGCCATGAAAGCTCCGGCGTCAACGCAATTTGGTATCGAACCACACACCTATCACTATTCCTGCATATAAGGAGCCAATCGGCAGCACCGTCATATCCACAAATTTCGCAAATAACATCTGTCATCGTGATAATAAGCGGGACGGGGCCACGGGGCCTCGTAGCTAAATAGAAACCATCGGTGTTGATGCTGACATGATTATAGAATGTATAGCCTTTAGTAGTACGTGTGGACTTGTCCAATGCCTTCTACGAAATCTTAGAGATGGGGAAAAAACTATAGTTTCCAGGCTTTCGGCATTCGACAATGGGCCGCCAAGTACGGCATTTTAAAGTTGGTACCAAAGCGCAAAGCCTCGGTGGCAAAGACGAATATGATATGCACTTCGGTTATTCGAGCTGACTTTGCGTGAACAGCGACGACTTTAGTATCATCCCAATCTGCTTACTACACACGAACAACAGACGAACGCACCGATAGAATTGAGTACCGCATGACACATACAATTAATATTATCTTACTAGCTCTCCTTTGCGCATGCACTTAGGAGATAGGCGTAGGCCTGCGGCGTGGTCGGCGCAGCTTGTCGCCTTATTGTCCCTGTATCGCGTTGTGCTGGAAACATGAACGTCAGCACGGAGCTTCTAGTCGCCTTGCAATCAAAGCAGGTATGCACGACTCGTCGCCGTACCCTCCCCTCTAGCTGGGATGTGTCCCTGGCTTCCTCCAGGCCAACTCTTCCGCGCACCTGCCAAACACGGCTTATTGGCCCCAATCCAGCCCTAGCCATCCCGTGTTTCGGTTTCCAGCGTGTTTCCAGCGACCGAAGCCGTGTCGCGCAAGTACTGCCACGGGGTCTGATGGGGACCCCCGGACATGCTGTGCTCACGCACCCCAAGCGCAGGGACCTGAGCTGCTTCCGCTCAGCCGCATGCGCCCTCCGCCTGAACAATACCCCACACTCTTTTCGCTGCCTGGGTTATCTGACGTGCATTCTGCTCGTTTCTTTTACCTCTGCGCACACACCTGGCCAAATATGCCTGATCAAATAGTTCCAGTCAAACATCCCCCGGCCATACACGTACTAGCCAGGCACCCATCGGCCAAACATATCGTGGTCAGACACCATTTGGCCAAAGATCCGCTGGTCAAACAACACAGGACCGCGTCCGCAACTTGTGCATCTTGGCTCACGTGGACCATGGCAAGACCACCTTGTCAGACCACCTCATCGGTTCGAACGGCCTCATCCATCCCCGGATGCAGGTATGCGTGCGTGTATGTGGGTGTGGGTGTGTGTGCTTTAGGCAGGAGTTTGTGCCGGAACTTCTCCGTGGCCAACCAGCTGCACTAGACGGAGCTGCGCGTCTCTCGACTTCTCCCGGGTCCCTGAATCCCCACGTATTGCGGTGGACGGTTAGGAGGCCGGTTTCTTCCCCCCATCCTTTACATCCTTCCGCTTGCTCCTCGCTTCCACTCCTTCGTCCTCCTTTAATCTTTTCCCTTCTCTATCTTTTCTTTTGGTCCCCGGCGCCACCACCCCCATCCTCCATCTCGTCGTCCTCTCCCCCTCCCCCTGCCGCTCTTCCCCCCGCCATCCATCTGGGTCACTAAGTACTAAATGGATCTTCAAACGGTATCAGATATCTATATTCCGCCCCACCCTCCGCCCCGTCCCGCCCCTCCCCGTCCCTTCTCTTACCCCTCTGGCAGGGTGAGCTGCGCTACCTGGACAGCCGCGAGGATGAGCAGGCCCGGGGCATCACCATGAAGGCATCAGCCATCAGCCTGCTGTATGTGCCGGGGGCCGCCACGCGGCCTGAGGTGCGTGGTGCATGGCGGGAATGGGGCCGGGAAAGAGGTGGAGGGGAGGGGCGGAAGTAGGCGCCCGGATCGCGTGTGTGGGGACGGAGTGGATGGGAAAGGGGAGGGAGGAGGGGGGAAGATGACCCACGAACGAGTGAGGAGGAGGATCAGGTGGGGGGAGGGATTCACCCACGGTATCTTCAGGTAGCTGGGTCTGGGTTCTGGAGCCTGGGTGGCTGGTGAGGTGGTTGGGCCGTTCGGGATTACAGGGCGGTAGTAAGGGTGGTAGTGAGCGGCTGGTACCTGTCTTGTCCTGTGGTACCCGGTCCCGTACTGCACCCGGTGGTGTACGTCACACACGTGCCGCTGGGTTGTTGTTGCCTTTTCATCTTGGCTCTTCCGAACCCCCTCCCCTCCTTCCCATGCCCCCCAGCTCATTTCTGAGTTTCCTTGTATAGGATTCCCCACCACCACCACCACCAGTACCACCACCACCACCGCTTTTGAACCCTCCTCGCCTTCTTCATGTATCATGTATCATTAAGTGTCTTTCTCTCTACCCTCTACCTACGACGCGTCCGGCAGTTGTTCCTTAGACTTTTCGGCTCATGATTTTTGCATGGCATTTCCAGTCCCCTTCTCCACCTTCCCTCGCATCCACGGCGTCCAGGGTCCCAAATCCCTGCCCGACGCGGCCAAGCTGTCCTCCGGCTACCTGATCAATCTGATCGACTCCCCCGGGCATGTGGACTTCTGCTCCGAGGTGTCCACTGCGGCACGACTCAGCGACGGGGCGCTGGTGGTGGTGGACGCGGTGGAAGGCGTGTGCATCCAGACGCATGCCGTACTACGGCAGGCGTACGAAGAGAAGGTACGAAGACAGTAGCTGGCATTGATGATGCGCGGTGTTGCGGGGTGGGGGGTACGGGCCCGGGGAGTCATTGTGTGTTGCGGAGCTTGTCTCTGGGGTGGTGGGGGGCATGATGGGATATCTGAGGCCGCGACTTTCAGGGGACTTGTTTTGCCGCGAACGGAAAACGAAAGTGCATGGTGAGCGGCAGGATACCCGCGTTGAGGATTGCGCCGTTTTGATTCGAGTCAGGAATTACCAACACCTCTTCTGTTACCCCCCCAACCCAACCCAACCCAACCCAAACCCAGTATCCGTCTATATTCTGGTATCTGCATCACGCGTTCCTGATTCGTGTCACCGGCCCCACTACCCATCTCACCCCCGACCGCCTTAAACCTTTCCTGCCACGTCGAATCCCCCCATGCACCCCCTACCCATACCAGGTGAAGCCCGTGCTGGTGATCAATAAACTGGACAGGCTCATTTTGGAGCTTAGACTCACCCCCGAAGAGGCGTACGGCAGACTGCGGAGCATTGTGACGCACGCCAACATGATCCTGTCGGCCTTTGCCAGCGAGCGCTACCTTCGGGAGGCGGATGCGGTGCTGGCAGTGGAGCAGGCTAGGGCGGATCAAGCGGAGCAGTCGGCGGCGGCGGCGGCGGCTGCCGGCGGGGGGCAGCGGGAGGGCGGGTGAGGCATTCCTAATGGATAGACAGTGTAATGGGATCACGGAGGATTGCCTGTTTAGGACGGACCGTGTTGATTTGTTTTTCGCGCTAGCGGAATTCATTTATGTTCGTATCCCCACAGCGATTCGTACGGCTCATGAGGATGTTCCTGACACAAAGCTGATCTGTATAGCGAGGCTCTTTTTTTTCTAGAGGCTTGAGGAGAATGTGGAAAAGGAAAGACTTCCTTTCTCTCGGAACATGTTTTTTCTTAACCCACCTTTGGTCCTTTTTTCCTGATAACATGTGTCATTAGATGGCGGCTTGAAAACGATTCTTTGAAGGCAGGCAGTAGTTCTCCTAGCATACCTTTTGGACTGACGGCAGAAGCCATTCCCCCAACCCATTCCCCCCCTTCCTTTTTCCTCACACGGGCCCCCCTTCCCCTGCTTGCACCTTTCCTTGCATGCAGCGATGATGGCGGGGGCGGGGGCGGCGCCGGTCCCGCGGCTGCGGCTGGTGGGGACGGCGAAAAGGAGGAGGAGGAGGAGGAGGAGGAGGGCGACGCGTTCGACCCGGTGGCTGGCAGTGTTGCGTTTGGCAGTGCAGCTGACGGCTGGGCTTTTCGACTGGACCAGTTTGCCGAGATGTACGCTGAGAAGCTGGGGTGCAAGACGGAGGCATTGGTTCGGGGGCTGTGGGGCGACTGGGCGTTCAGCCCCAAGGTGGGGGCACACGGCTGGCGTGCGTGCCAAACACATACACACGCACACGGTGGTGCGCTCGTGCGTGTGTGTATGGGTGGGTAAAGGGATGGGGCGCGGGAGGATGGCGCGGTCGCCGGATTGCTTGGCCTTGGGGGAGGAGGAAAGTTGCACTGCGGACGGTTTTCATGGCTCATAGCGGGGCCCTCGTACGGCATTTGGGGGCCAACACTGAAAGCCCACACCCAGCTCGTCCAACAACCGTCGCCTGCACAACTACTACTACTACCCCCCTTCCCAACTCCCAACCGTCTACCAACCGCCAGGACAAGCGCGTGGTCAGGACGTCTCGCAAAGGTGGCGGAGCTGGCGGAGGTAAATTGAAGCCCATGTTTGTGCAGTTTGCTTTGGAGCCCATTTGGAAGGTGAGGAGGAGGAGGAGGCGGGGCAGCGGAGGAGGAGGATTGTACGGAAGAGGGAGCTTCCAGTTGTATGGTCTTTGGATGCGGGGGGCGGCCTCCGGGGCTTGGGTTTTGGGGATGGGGACACCAAGTATCTTTTTTAGCGTCGGCAGATAATTCCTTGGCTTTTGCTGTATATGATTTCCCATCCGCCTGCCTCCTCGCCCCTCTTCCATGTATGCTTATGGAGTGGAGTCATGATACCCAACCCACCGCACCCTGCACCCCACACCCCTCCTCCTGCGCACAGGCGTACAGTGTTTGCGATCCAGGGGAGGATGTGGGCGGGGTGCTGGGGGCCATCGTGAGGTCCCGGGGGCTGGGGGGCCTGGTACCCACCAAGGCGCTTGAGCATCCCGACCCGCGACAGGCATTGAGGGTGAGGAGAGGGGATGGGAGGGGGGAAAGAGGAAAGGAAACGATGAGCCGCCGCGGCGGCAGCCGCAAAGATGTGGGTCACATGTCTGTCTGCCTGTCAGTCAGCCAGCCAGCTGGTGTGTTTCGCTCTGCGTAAAAGAATGTCTTCCGGGCCCCTTCCGTTGCCTTGCTTTGAGTCTGCGGTGCTCCGTATTTTTTACAACCTCCTCCCCGCTCCATAGTATTTTAATTATATTAGACCACAACTTATGTTTTATTTAAAGCCTTAATTCCTTAGCTTTCGTAACAGTGGTTCCACCCTTGCGCCTTGCGCCGTCTGCTCCGCTCCACATATTCTCCGTAACCCGCCCTCCCGCCTGGCTGCTGCGTTTCTCCTTTCCCCCCTTCCTTTATCTCTCCCTATCTCCCTCTATCGCTACCGCTCTCCCCCAGTCCGTGCTCCGCGCCTGGCTGCCGCTGTCCGAGGCGGTTCTGGGTATGGCGGCCGCACAACTCCCCAGTCCGGCAGCCGCAGCTCCGGTCCGTGCCCCCCGGCTGCTGGGAGGGCCCCCTGGCTCCCCACCGCCACCGGGACTGCCCCTGCATGCGGCACAGGAGCTGGCGCGACTGGAGGTGAACGGGGGTCGTGGGGACTCGCGGGGGAGAGAAAGGCGCGGGAGGATTGGAGGATGGGTTACAGGAGCAAGGGGGATACGGGGTTGGGTGCCGAGTAAAGGGGAGCATCGACGGCCGATTAGTTCCCGAACGGCGGGGGAGAGGGGGGGAGCCGTGGAAGCTCCTGGTTGTAGGCATATTGAGGAGTCCAAGTACAAGGTCCACAGACCCCACGGGACCTGACCGAATGGCGTGGGTTGTAAGCGGAGGCAAGGGGGCGGCCCATGGGGTTACACTGAGGTCGGGGCTGGGTGGGATTATAGGGTGTGTGCTTGTGTTATGGCGACTACGGGACTGAGGATCAATTGGAACAAAAATACGTGTTTTGGTGGCCCCTTCTGGACCACCCGCCCTTTTCAACCTGGCACCCCGCAATCTCCCGGCCCCGCCCCTCCGGCCCCGCAAAACACACACGCAGGCGTGTGTGGCACGCAGCGACGCATCGGCTTCTGCTCCCCTAGTGGTGTACGTGTCCAAGATGGTGGCGGTGCCCCGGGGGCTGCTGCCCAGGGCTCCGGGGGAGGGCGCGGCCGGTGCGCTGACCCATGGGTCACACTCCCAAGACCCACAGGAAGAGGTGAACAGAGGGGTGCCTCTGCAGCTGTTGCGGGGAGCTCCAGGGGAAGACAGTAGCGTTTTTGGCAGTGACCCATGGGTCACATTGCCACTACCAATCCCAGTACACATGCAGGCAGGCAAGCCGGGCAGGCAGGCAAGCCACGTTCCGCCCCCCACACGTAGTGTACTTCAGACATCGGTAGCTGATTTTCCTGTTCCTTGCGTGCGCTTTCCCCTCCGCCCCCGTCCACAAGCAAGGCAAGGCTGCTGTAACGCCTGTGTCGTCGCCCTCGTCCCCCGTCTTGCCCCCCTCCCTCTCAGGTGTTCCTGGGCTTCGGGCGCGTCTTCAGCGGCACGGCCCGTCCCGGCCAGAGGGTGCACGTGCTGAATGGTGCCTACAACCCCGCGGCCCCAACCTGCCAGCGTCAGACTGCCGTACTGGGGGCTGTGTATATGATGATGGGGAGAGCTCTGGAGAGGGTACAGCAGGTGAGGTGAGGGTGAGGGGTTGGCGGGGGGGAAGGGGGGCCGGTCACGGATAGGGGAGGCTCCAAAAACCCTTAAAACCTTTTAGGACCAATTTTGCGTCAATCTGCCCCTAATTTAAAACCAATGTTTATTAAATATAATAATTTTCTTGCTATTAAGTACTGATCTTGTATGAAAAATACAAAAAGGAAAACCATCTCCAACACACCGTATCGAGCTCGACTTGCAGGAGGATATTTGAGGAGGAAAGGTATTTCCAGCATCTGTGGTACAATCATTCCTTTCATATATAACCCCTGTACCTCTGGGCGGTGTGTGAGGAGGGTAAAGTAGCCTTACTGCACCTACCACTGTCCTGTGCTGTACCCCTGGCTAGCCCCCACCTACCTACCCACCCGCGCCGGGGCCCCCCCACCACACACGCATCCCCGCCGGTGTAATCCAGGTCCCCGCCGGTAACGTGCTCGCAATGGCCGGGCTGGACACTGCGGTGCTCAAGTCGGCCACCCTGTCCTCCACCCCCGCATGCCGGCCCCTGGCCTCCCTGATGTTTCAGGCGGCAGCGATTGTGATGGTGGGTCTAAAGATTGGAACAGGGCTGGGATGCAGATGCGTATGGCAACAAGAGGCGCATAAGATGTTTGTGTCTTGTGCGTGTATGAATGAAGTTGTTCACTAGCAAATTTGTGCATATCGGTGTTTTGCACGACGTTTTGCCAACCATAATGTGTACGGCATACTACTTGCTCCTCAATTCGGCATCGTGATGACGCGGGAGTTTAGGGACTAGGGCTGGGAAGAAATTCTGCAGTAGATGTCGTACAGTACGGCCCACACGCACGTGGAAATATACAAAAGCGCACTTCCACTATCTCGAACGGCCTTTTCGGCGGCCAGATATTACGAGGCGTGGGAGGCGGATTGGTGTTGAAGGGTACAGTGATGAGGTGTGGGTATAGGGCGGTATTGACCGATATGTTTGTTGGCCATATTTTTAAAGTTATGTACGGTGCCGTATACAGGTAGCTGTGGAGCCTGCCCACCCCAGTGATCTGCCGGCGCTGCTCCGCGGCTTGCAGTTGCTGAACCGGGCTGACCCTTTCGTGGAGGTGAGGGAGGGGCGGGGGGTGGGGGGTGCGGTGGGGAGGGGGGGAAGCAGCTAAGAGTGAGCTTACATGCACGGCCCTGGGTGCACATGAGCATCTCAGAAATAGCGTCCAAAATGCATACACACACATACACACACATGTATAGCGTGATATATAAATAATATATGAGTATTATATGATTTGTAATATATAATATTCAATGTATATATATACATATGTACGTATTTATATATATGGTGTATATGTATGTCCTTTGTATTTATATATGCGCACACGCACCCCGCCACACACTGCCCTACTGCCTATTTTTGCCTGGTCTCGTACAAGAGGGCGCGGCGGGCCGCTTCCACCGCAGGCTCCCAAGTCTCCAAACAACCCCTAAACCTTTCCGGGACATGCGCCGCATGTGCACGTGTGTGAGCGGGGACAGGCACCTGCGACTTTTTCCATCGTACTGAATGATGGTCGTACAGTATAAACCTGTCGTACATGATTCACGATGCAGATCAGTGTTCTGGACAGTGGCGAGCACGTGTTGGGTGCTGCCGGCGAAGTTCATCTGGGCACGTGCCTCAAGGACCTCAGGGAGCGGTTCGCCAAAGTGGACCTGAGGGTGAGAAAGGGTGTGAGAGTGTTTGTGCGTGTGTGTTTAGCTGTTTCCTGCTGGTGGGGGTTCGGGAGCATAGCTCACCTAACTCCACAGATAGACAGATAGATAGACAGACAGAAACACGCATACACACACCCCTCTTTCCCCACTCTCGTTCCCCAATCCTGAAAGGGGCCCCCTCTCCACCCCCTTTCCCAGCAGCTCCCCGTCCTGCCTCCCGCCCCACCGCCTTCAGGTATCCCCGCCGCTGGTGGCCTTCCGCGAGTCGGTCTTCTGCCCCTCCGAGCTGCCCGAGGGCGCCCCCCTGGGAGGGCTGGTGGGGGGCCTGCGAGCCCCGCGGGTGGTGGAGGCCACCACACCCAACGGCGTGTGTGTGGTGCGGGTGCGGGCGGCGGCGCTGCCCGGCGGTGTGGCGGGGGCGTTGGATGGGCGGCCTGAGCTGCTGAGGAGGGTGCTGGTGGATGGAGAGGGCTGGCAAGGTAGAGGGGGACGCTGTGGGGTTGGGCTTTGTGGGTTTGGGGGGTTGGCTGGAGAAGGAGGATTTGTGTGTGGGTGTTGGGGGTAGGGGGTAGGGGGTAGGGCTTTGTTGTATATGGATGGGTTGCGGGCGGACACAAGGCTTACTGACTACATGGATTAGTTTGTGTTTACGCTTGGATCATATTCGTTCATATTCGCTGGCATCCCCCCTCCCCCCTGGAAATATCATATACCGCGGCTGACGTCACGGCAGCAGCCGACGCTTCGTCTTCTTGCTCCTCCTCCGCGCCGAGTGCATCTGCAACCTTGGTTTCGGAGCTGGAGGCCTTACGGGGTGAGCTGCGGGCGGCCGCAAAGGCGGCGGGGCCGCAGCACGAAGCGCGGATTTTGCAGATGCTAGAGGTACGGCGGCGGTACGACACTGTACAGCACTGAAAATGAATGATATAACGACGCTGGTTTTCCAGTGTATGAAGGGAAAACAAAAAGGGGCCCGCTTTTGCACTTTTGTGCGCGGCATGGCTGTGTTAGCAGATTCACAACTTTCGCAACCAGGGTAACGCAGCCGGGTATTTGTTGGCCTTCACCGTATAGGCAGTGGCAATGTAGGTGGTGGTCGTGCGTGCTCCTTTGCCTTCAGAACCCTGCAAAACTTCAGAACTCTAAACAAACACACACCTGACTCCCCGCCCACCCCTTACGACGCCCTTTCGTCAGTCCCCATCAGTTAGCACTTTTGGTTTATACCCCGTAATGACAGAGTTATGAACTAAACCGAGTAAGTAGTAATACGATTTCACAATTGGAAATGAACTATATATGGAAATGTTGTTTCTGTGCCTAGAAATGTGCTTATCGTATTTCTTTCATACGGTTCATCTCCTTCGCAAACTTGTCTGCATCCCAGCGCGCGTGGTTGCTGGGGCCCAAGCGCATAGGGCCCAACTTACTCCTGGTGCCGTCAAGGAGAGCCAACGGGGTAACGGCGGCGGCGGGGACAAGTTCAACCAGCAATAGTACGGCAGCGGAAAGCCTTTTCGACGTGCCGGCGAGCTCTATCGTACGGGCCGCGAAGGCGGCCACCAAAGCGACGGCACCGGGGATGCCGGGCGCCGCCGCCGCGACGGCAGCGGCCGCGGCCGCGGGACAGCTGGCAGATGCAGACGGCGAGGGCGGCGATGCCGCAGCCGCCGCCGCCACCGCGCCGCCGTCAGCACGGATCGACCCCCGTCTGGGCTCCCCGGTGGCAGCGCTGGCGTTGGGCTTAGTTCCGGAGGAAGACGGGCACTTGTACGACAGCGTTGATGGCGCCGCAGGGCCGGTGGCGGGGGAGGCGACGACGTCATGCAGAGCCAACGGCGGGGAATGTGGAGTTTCGGAGCCACTTGGTCATGTAGTGGCGAGTGTGGAGTCGGGTGTAGTGGCGGGCTTCCAGATCGCTACTTCGTCAGGTGCGCTAGCGGACGGTCCCGTGGGTCGGTCGCGAAGGATGGACGTCCTTGGCTGCTGAAATCCACTCGTGTCCGCAGGCTTACGTGCACATAACCCGCCATCCATATACTCACCATGTAATCCAGTCCGCATTTTCGGTAGCACAATTACACGCAATAATACTAATCCAACATTTCCTGGTGCCTTTTTTATAACAACTCCCTCCCTTATACCGCACTTTGACCCGAGCTAAAACCCAAACCCAGACTCGAAACTCCTACTCCTAAACCCTTGGTTTATGCCCTTTTATATTGCATGCACGCGTCCACACGTTGACTTTAAATAAGTGTACATTTAAAATCATAATCATAATATAAGCTCGTACATACGTACAGACATACGCACACCCTGCAACAGGTCCTCTTTGCGAGGAGCCCCTTTGGGGCGTTGCCTTCGAACTCGAAGTACGTCTGCAGCAGCCGCAGCAAGCCGGCGGTAGCCAGGCAGTCATCAGCGTGCAGGGGGTCGAGGGTCCAGCAGCCAACACAGACGCCGCTGGGGGGGAAGGCGGTGCTACTGCTACTAACGGTGCGACTGCAACAGCAGCGACGTCTGCTGGTCAGTGTACGGCAGATGGCCCTTCCTCGAGTGATCGATTGGAGCTTCAGGAGGATGTGTACGGACCGTTCTCGGGACAGGTAAACACTCTTCAGTTTATGCATGTGTCTGTATGTATGTATGTATGTATGTATGTATGTATGTGTATCTGTCTCTGTCTGTGACACACATTTTGTGCCTTATGCTGCACCTGACCGGGCCCAACGCTGTCCAGTGCATCTCTGTATCTCTCTAGGTCTGTCTATCTGTCCGTCTGTCTGTCTGTCTTCGTCCACAGCCCTTGATTCGACATACATGGCTTTCCCAACGCCGAGAGCTTGTGAGCTTGTTAGATCGCGCCCTCACAAAACCCAAAGCCCCCCGCCACTTGGCTGCCCAAACGGAGCCCCCTCCCTCCCCCTCTTTCTTCATCGCATATACAGACAGACAGACAACCTCACACAATCTCACACATTGCTTGGCCGCATGATGCAGGTAATGACGGCAGTAGCATTGGCGTGTCGGACGGCAGTCCTGGAGGCGGATGCACGCCTGGTGGAGGCGCAGTATCTGTGCCAGGTGGGATCATGGCTTGGATCCTGGTTTGGTTTAAATCCTGTTTGCGTTCTTAAGAATTTTGATGAATCTCCTTGCTTCTTGTATGTGCGACTCAGAAAAAAAAACCTTTTCCTGCGCTTTCCGCAGCTTACTGCGAGTGCGGAGGCGCTTAGCGGCATGTATGCAGTGCTAGGTCGCCGCCGTGCTCGCATCCTGAGGGAAGAGATGCGGGAAGGCAGCGACACCTTCCTGGTGGGTGGGTGGTAGTGGGTGGGCTGTATTGGGGTGGTAGGGGTTCCAAAGTTTCGTGGGCGTGTTGTGTGTGGGGGGGGCCAAAAGTAGGGGGGTTGGGATTGCGTCGTGCGTGCGGGGTAGGTATATGGGGTAGATGTTGTCGGGAGGGTGACTGGTGCGGAAGTGGGTGCATTGGGGGGCCTCGATCTCTTCCCCTCGAGGGTTCGAAAACCCAGGAGGGCCCTACCCAGTAACCATAACCCTTTCTCTTGTGCCGAACCCCGGGTGCTTCTGTCTTTGTTCCCCCCACCGCGCACACCCTCCCTCATTTCCCTTCTTAACATATCCTTCTCCTCCTCTCCCCTCCCCTATGTATTCTCCCCTTGCGGTTAATTCTTTGTGTTTTGTGTCACGTGGTTCCCCGACATATCCACCCAACAAGCCAAGCCAAACCCCCCTTCTCCCCCCCAGGTCAGCTGCTACCTTCCCGCGGAGGCCTCCTTCGGCCTGGCGGATGAGATGAGGCGCCGGAGCTCCGGTGCGGCTTCCGCCTCCCTCCTGCTGAGCCACTGGGAACGGCTGCAGGTCGGCGGGGCTGGTGTGTCTGTTTGTCGCGTTGTATGTGCGTGTGCATGTGTAAGTGTATGTATATACATGTGCCTATGTATCGTGTCTCTTACGTATGCATGTATGTGTGTGCACCAGGGAGGGCATTTGTTCACCGCCTTCTTTGCTACGTCGTACATCCCTTTGCATTCGCAACCTCTCCCCCTTTTCCCCTCCGTGTTGCAGTGTTTTGGACTTCGGCGTTGTCACCTCTCTTGACTTTTGACTATTGCATCACATGATGCTCCTCACTACCTTCCCACCTCCTCACGCCCTTCCCCCCGCCCCAGGTGGACCCCTTCTTCGCCCCCACTACGGAGGAGGAGCGCGAGGAACACGGAGAGGACGCCTCGGGCCTGACTAACTTAGCCAGGAGGCTCATTGACGCAGTACGGCGGCGGAAGGTCGGTCGGTAGTTGAGGTGGTTGAATATTGATGGTCGGTCTGTACGGATCAAAACGCCCGTGGCTGCCCTTCCGCGCTCCTAATCACCATACCTCATCATTCCACCCTCCACTGCCTCCTCCTCCTCGTCCTCATCCGCCTTCTCCTGTTTTCCACTTCCGGCCTTCGCCTTCCCTCCTTCCACTCCCCGGCTCCTTGACCATCCTGGTCGTTGCCACTAACAACCCCATGTCGTTTTGTCGCCCTTACCGCTCTGGCACTTGACCTGGCCTCCCGCCCCCGACTCTCTACCGCGGCCCCTAGGGTTTCTCTCTTTTGACTGACTTATCCTTTTGACTGGCTTTATACATCCCCTCACCCCTTGCGTCGTCCCAGGGTCTGCCGGTGGAGGAGAAGGTGGTGGCTCGGGCCACAAAGCAACGTACCCTCAAACGAAACGTGTGAGGTTGGGGGCCCCCGGTCAGCACCACCAACAAGCCGCGCGCAGAACCCCCGCCCACGCCGGGGTGCCTGCTTTGGCTGGCTGGCTGCTGTTCATTTTCTTGAACGTGTGTACGTATGAGGAAAAGGTTGCACGGGCTCGTTGCGACATGGACAGATAGATACGGATAGATACGTTTGTTAGGAAGGAGGATCACAGTCCCGGTACGGACATTGGCGAGGTGAAGATAACGAGTGGTGAAATAACCAAACAGCAGCTGGCGCCTGGTGGCTTATATGACGGGGGGGAAATGAATGTATCGATGCATGGTTGGGTGAGGACCAGCAGCAACAGCAGCAGGAAGCGGAAGAGGAGAGCAGAGTGGGGGGGAAAGAGGAGCGAGCGGGGGAGTGGAGAATGGAGGGCCCTTAACGCGAGGAGTTGTGGTAAGAGGAAGTAGCGGGGTTGGTGCTGATGGTCGGCAGGGAAGTTACGGTATTATACAACGGATGCAGTGAGGTATTGTATGTGTATAATTGTTGTTGGGGTTTGATTGGCGGTGTTGGAATGAAGGGCTAAATAGGGTCGGGTATTATAGGGGCACTTAAGCCGTTGAATATGTTCATTGGGATGTGATTTTTCTGTGGATGTGGGTATGGAGGTGGCTGTATGTGGTTTTGTATTGTGCAAGACTTTCGCCGTATGTGCATGTCTATCGTGTAGGATGTATGACACGTCGTACACCGCTAGCTACCCGACAAAACCGCTTTCTCTCGCACCCCTCCACCTGCTGGACGTGAGGTGCACCACCGTGGCCACCGTGCACCACCGCCTTAACGAGCGGCTCAAATAATGCAAATGCAGTAGTCCGATGTGGGGCTTACTCTTTGTGCTAGGACATTCAAGCGCGGCGACATTCAATTGCTGTGTCCCGGGCACGTCACCTGTCGGTCGCATCTCTACGTTCTGTGCTCTCCGGCCCGGGGCCCCGCCTTGCGATGGAGTGTGGGGTAGAAGCAGAGTAGGACAACGGAGTGCGTGTGGCGCCCAGCGGGCGATGGCGGCTCGTTGTGCAGTGGGCCCGCGCCCGCGGTCTTGGGGCAGACACGCACAGTGGCTTGTGACCAGGGCCCGGGGTGTGCTAATTCCAGGGCCTGGCCGGTCTGCAGGGGGCACTGGCCGGTCTGGACTGGTCCTGCTTCGGAGCCGAGGGTCGGGCTCAACAAAGCATGGGGGCTGTCGGCCTGGGGGGAAGGACCTGAGGGTAATGAGACGCGGAGAAGACATCGCTCGGATAGGGTCTAAGCCAGGGTGAGGTCGCCTGCCATGTGGCGACGGCCCCAGGCCCGGGCCGGAGCAGGTGAGGCCGGTGACCCCAGCCTGTTCTCTGGGTGCGGTGGGGGGATTCACGGGAACCCCGTCAGGCCACCCATGACACCCCTAAACAGTTGTAGAGAGTTACAAAACAGACCACCTTGCAGGCCGCACTAGAGTACTCAAACCATGGATGGTGTCCTGTTGTTACTTTTATAAATTTACGGCAGTATGGCTGTGAGTGTGTCATATCTATTATATGATCAGGTACAACGATCCCTTCTGTAGGAGCTGGCCGCTGAAAAAATGGCCTCTGAAGATGCTGACAGAGCGCCTCAGCGCGTATTCATCCATGATATGCGTGCCTTACTGTGTACAGCTTCATACCGGTCCTCCTCTGAAGGGATCCGCCTCGGGCCCCACACACAGGACCTGTGCCTGCA